AGTGCCCTTCAAAACACAGAAAATCTTTTTCATGATTGTTTTGCCTATTCTTGATTCCCTGTATTTCTGGACAGATTTTAGGATCATCCTGTCAATTTCTACAATAATGCCACCTGGAATTTTGAATGAGTCTGTAGTTCAGTTTGGCAAGTATTGCCACACTGAAGAATGTTAACTGTCCTGATCCATGAACATGGGATACCGTTTCATTCATTAGGTCTTTAATTTCTTTTAGCAGTGTTTTGTGGTTTCCAGCACATCTTACATTTCTCTTATTAAATATATTTCAAAGTATTTTATGCTTTTTGCTGCATAAAATACTTTTGGGGTTGTTTTGTTTCTTAAATTTATTTTTGGATTGTTCACTGCTAGTACATAAAAACAGACTTGATTTTTTCATATTGATCTTGCATCATGCCATCTTGCTGACCTCTTGTGAGTTCTAATAGTTTGTAGTTTGTAGTGGATTCCTTAGGATCTTCTGTATATGTAAGATCATGTCATCTGTGAAGAGAGAGAATTTTACTTTTCCCTTTTCAATCCGGATGTCTTTTTCTTGCCTGATTGCCCTGGCTAGAATTTCAGTACAGTGTTGAATAGAAGTGTCAAGAAAGGGAACATCCTCGCTTTGTTCCTAGTCTTAGGAGAAAGCATTCCACTTTTTCCATTAGGTGTGAAATAGCCTGTGGGTTTTTTTTGTGTGTAGATCCTCTATCTAAGGTCCGGGATGTTCCTTTCTATTCCTAGTTGGTGTGGTGTTTCTCATGGAAGGGCGCTTGATTTTCTCAGTGTTTTGGGGGGGGGTCTGTTGAAACGACCAGGTAGTTTTGTACTTTATTGATAACCTAGAATTATATTAATTGACTTTCAGGTGTTAACCCACATCTTGTATTTCTGGGATAAATCCACATAGTCATCCTGTATACTCTTTTAAAAGAATATGTGGCCAGATTCAATTTGTTAGTGTTTTCTTGAGGTTTTTTTCCTGCCATATTTATAAAGGATATTGATTGGACTGCAGCTTTTTTTCCTTGTGATGTCTCATCTGACTTTGATATCAGGATAATATAGCTTCATAGAATGTGTTGGGAAGTGTTCTTCCCTCTTCTATTTTTGGGAAGAATTGGGAAGAATTATTAATTTTTCTTTAAATGTGTAGTAGAACTCACCAGTGAAGTCTTCTAATCATGGGCTTTTTTTTATTGGAAGTTTAAAAATGATTAATTCAGTTTCTTGTTAACAAGTTTCTTCAGATTTTTCATTTCTTCCTGAGTCAGCCATTGGTTTGTGTCATTCTAGGAACTTGTCTATTTCATCTAAGTTCTCTACCTCATTAGCATATAATTGTTCATGTTATTTCCTTATAATCCTTTAAGATATATATATATATATATATATATATCTCCTCACCTGAAGACTTTTATTTCATTGCTTTTAGAGGGGAAAGGAGAGAGGAAGGGAGGGAGTGAGAGAAGCATCGAAGTGTTGCTTCCCATTGGTGCCTGGACCAGGGATCTGGGATCCGGGATTGAACCCACAACCTAGGCATTGTGCCCTGACTGGGAATTGAACCGGCAACCTTCTGGTTTGGGGAGGAACCACCCGAGCCCCATTGGGCAGTGTTCTTTTTCATTTTTAATGTTCTGCATTTATACAGTGCATGGCATGACCGAATGTGAACTTTGAACCCTGAGGGTGGGCTTGCCCTCAGATTGGGTGAGCCCTCGATCTAAGGATGAGCCCATCTTTCGTTCTGGAAAATTCATATACGTTCTGTCTTTGAACATTGCCCTTCTGCATTCTTTCCTTTTTATTGTGGAATTCTGTGAACCTCTGTGTCTCTTGATAGTTTCTATCTCAGGATGATTTCCTCCACTTCTTCCCCATTTCACTAACTTGCCTATTGGGTTTTAAATTTTAATAATGTATATTTCATGTCCGTTTGGGACTTTAGAAAATATATATATTTTTAGATTTTTCTTGTATTTCTAGCTCTTGGAATACCGATTGTTCTGTCTTCTGACTCTCTTCTGGTGGTTTTTTTCACTGTGAGGTTTGTAATTTTTTACACTGAGGTCCTCTTCCGTGGTGGTAAGGAGTAGGATGCTTCAAAACTAAGTATTTCGGAAGTCTGCCCTTACTGGTGATGATGAGGTCTAGGACAAATCGTGTGTGGGTGTGTGGCCAAGGTCGGGTAGGGAAAAGATCGTCGGAAGGCCCTTCCCCCAGAACTTTGCGTGCCTGGCTGCTGCTGATCACACGGATCTCTCTTTGCTTAAGAGCCGTCTTCCAGGGCCTTCGCAGGCCTCCCTACCTAAGTCCCGGACCCCCGTCACACTCTCTAAGCTATTTGTCCACTTTTTGTGGCCTTCTTCTCAGCTGGAGCATCAATTCTGTGATAGCCAGGTTTGTCTTATTCATTGCTACGTCCTCAGCACCTGGCACAGGGTTTAAACTGCCAGTGACTGCGAGTGGGTTTGAGTTGTCCTGTTTCGGACAGGAAGTCTTCTCAGCCCCACTTCTGCAGCTTTCAGGCAGCGGAGAAGAGGTGAACGGTTCGGCGCCAGTTCCCGAACCTTTTTCTGTGTCTCCATGGGCGCTGGCTTTCTCTCCCATCCCGAGAGCCCAGAAAACACCATTCATCCTGCGTGCCTCAGCCTCCTTTCGGCTAGTGTTTCCACAGCTGCCAAGATCGGTTATGGGGGATTTGTATGCTGAAGACCTGGGGGAAGACAGGGTACAGAAGTCCAGGACGGTCTGGCCCTCCTTACCGTTAGGAGGCTGTATATGAGGTGAGCCGACAGGGCACTCACAGAACACGAATTCCTGCCGCTCACTGCGCCACGGTACAGATTAGTGCCCCTACTGTGAGACCTCACAGGTGGAGAGAGGCAGCCCTGTGCTTGTTCCTGGTCATCTTTTTTTCCCCTTTAGGGTGTGTGTTTTATTGAACTGGTCTCAAGTCTGTGTATAGGTAAGCCCACCTCAACCCACTCCCAGGGAGACCAAAAGCCTTCATACATCTCAAGTTGAGGGACCAGAAGGGGAACCATGGTAGCTGACCATTATGCCAGGTCATCTTAGGTGGTCACAAAAGTGGTTTGTGGAGGCATATATGAGTGAGTTATGAGTTTGGGTGACTCTGTTTTGGCCTCTTAGGTTGCCCCACAGTGCAGCCACTTGTTCAGGAGCCAGTTGTTACTAGCCCAGTGGCATTCCCATGAGGGGGCGGTGGGTGGCACTTTTCTATTCCATCCTAAGGGAGCTGGTGTAGGGGCATGAACTTCCCTCTTACCTCACTGTCCAGTCCTGGGTAAGTGAGCAAATAGCTCTTGATCATAGCGGTGCTATGAGGAGATTACACAGAGAATGTGTTTAGCACAGTGCCTGGTTCATCCAAGTAAAATGCTAGTTGACGGTATTCCCTTTTGGCATCTTGGGAGCTGCTTGTGCCTCAGTTTCCTAATCTGTAACGCAGGTAACATAATAATACCTGATACTCACCTGCCCCTCCCCTCTAGCCCTGGTTGTTGGTAAGGCCCGAAGTGTTAATGTCCTCCAGCTCCGTGGGCCTGCGGTGGGGGAGGAGCTGCATAAATGGAGTATTATGGCGCTGGTGAATGATCTGGCTTTGTTATGTGTGTTCAGTAGTTGACTTCCTGCTGTTAGTGTGCCTGGTGTTTAATTGCTGCAGATGTTTGCGTGTCCTCAGCGGTGTGGTACTCACCTGCCTGGCCCTGGCCTCAGTCCCCACCCGGTAGGGACCTGCTAAATTGGAGCGGGAAGCTGCATTTCCTCTGTTAGGGGCCTCCCAGGAATCAAGAATGATAGAAATGCAGAAAGTATGACCCACACGCAGAACTGGTTCTGAATAGGACATTTATTGGAGAGGTTTTGCAGGAGGCGCAGGCGCTGTGATTCCCAGGCTGTTGGTGGCAGCTCTCTGCTCGCCCCAAGCCTGTTAACTGCTCGACTGCCAGTGCCCGAGTGGAAGAATGCAGCTTCCCGGTCCCACACGGCCCTCTCGGTGCTCAGATGGGAGCCCTTTTGAGAAAAGCAGTAGGTACCCAGCTGGGGTCATGCCAGGGGTGCAAGTGGGACGTGACTAGGACTCTGTCAACTCCAAGTCTTGCCAGACCCCTCCCCTGCCACCTCACCCCGCTGGGTGAAACCTGGCCAGCCACAGGCTTTGGGGCCAAAGGTAGGTTTCTCCCTTGGGCGTTCAGACACCTAGGTCCTTGCAGGTGCAGGTGCAGGTGCAGGAAAGACGGCTGGTCCTCTTTATCCTGCCTGGCTTCTTCTAGTGTGGATTTGTCCGTCCTGGCTTGGTAAGAGTGTCCTGTGTCCTTTTTAAGGGGACTGCAAGTGATTCTGCTAGGGGACATTCAGAGTTGGGTGGTTAGAGAAGGGGCCCTTCCTGGAGCGACCCAGCACACTGTTACACATGCACGCACGCACGCACACATGCACCCACATGCACCGGGAAAAGCAGGGTTAATCATTTACTTCGTCCGGGACTTTCCCTTTCCCAGAATCCACAGAGGGTGGATATTAGATAAAATCAAGTAGTGGCAGGTGGAGCAGGTGAACGGAAGTTCTCCCCAACCCTGTCCTGTCCTCGATGGATGCCACCAGGCGGGGGCAATTCTCACTACACTAGTGCCCACCACCTCTGGAGCTCTGGGCCATGGGAGCAGGGAGGTCCAGGGCAGATCCTGGCTTGGCTACGTCTTTCAACCTTGAATCAAGGCCTTGCTTTTCTGGGAGCGGCGCTCTGCTGCGTGGGCCCAGCACTCCATGCCATGTGGACCCCCGCGCTCCAGAACACGGGTTTGGTGACAGCTGCCCTTCTGCCCACGATCTGGGCTGTGTAGCCTCTCAGCTGAGGGAGGAAGCTCCTCTCCTCCCACTTGGGAACTGGTTGGATGAGTTTTCTGGGCCTCCCTGGTGAGGCCCCTGGGAAAGGCAGGGACCGGAGGGGCTGGGGGTGGGGCAGGTGCTGCAGGGTGGAGAGGGGCCTTCCTGGGCTCTGTGGGGCAGCGCTCCCCACGGGGAAGTGTGGGAGGCCCTGCTGTCTGAAGGGCTGGCTGCCTCTGAGAATTGACTTTCGCATGTGAGTCTCTATGGTCTGCCTTGGAAGTCGTTTTCCTACCTTCTCTGGGTCAGGCACCAGGCCCAAGGTCAGTGTCCAGGACAAAGAAGTGGTGTCCTTTGGAGCATTTTTCTTGGTGTAGTGCCCCGGGAGTGAGAAAGGCCACAGCTGTTTGACAGCTTGAAGCGCTTCACCAAAGGGCGCCACTTTACATTTACATGCTTTTCTGGTTGCTGCTGCTTGGAATTGGAGGGGAAATTGCCTCTGGGGGAGCTGTCCCGATGGCAGCCTTGCTCCCTAAATCTAACAGTATGTGCTGACCCCTCCCCCAGTGGTAGGGGGAGCTAATGGCCCCAGGTTTCAATGGGAGATTCCCTTCCAGTAAGTCCTGTGTCTCGGCTTTCTAGAGTAGCTGTTCTCATCCTGCTTTTAGAAGCACCTGATTCCCAGGTAGCTTCATAGCCTCACATTTATCTGGGGCTTCTTCCTGTGTCCCCCTTCACGGGGGTTGTTAATATGCTTCATTCTTTCTAGCAGCTACTCCCTAGGCCTCTCTCTTTCTCCTCCAAACCGTCTGAATGGTCAACACCTTCTTGGGCCTCTGGGTTCTTGGACATTCTGGTTATCTGGACACCTGCCGCCATAGCCCCGCATGGCGGTTTGTATCTTTTTAAGGCACGTTCCCACACCTCGGCTCAGAGCTTTGGTGCCACCTGCCTTGGTAGTGGTTCCTCCAGGCCTGGCTCAGGTGCGTCCTCCTCCATAAAACCATTGCCAATTCCTTTAGTCTGTCCTTGGCCTGCCTTCCAGCCTGGCCACTCGCTGCCAGCTGCCCAGGACCTTGGGTGGTCCAGGTCCTTGAGGGACTCGACTTCCCCACGATGCTGCCTTTGCATCAGATGTCCTCAGAGGTCTCGTCACCTGGCAAAAGCTTAGTCATCATTCGAGACTCAGCTAAAATGTCTCCACCTCCTTTAAATCCGCCCTGTCCTCCCAGGTGATACCAGCTACTCTAACAGTTTATGTAGTCGTACTTTTGCACCAGCATGTAAGGCACTGCTTTGTGGGTAATCTATTACAGGGCTGGTTTCTCCTCAAGAATTCAGTTCTTCGATGACAGGGGCAACGTCTTACTTTTTTCAGCCTCCCTAGTCATACTCAGAAGTGATGCCCCAGACTGAAGGCAGTCTGGAACCCCCAAACTGCTCACAACACCACTCTCTACCTCCATTTGTTATCAGTGCACTTCTTTTGTTTCTCTTGATGGGAGATCACCTCTGGGCAGGGTTCCATGTGTGATTTATTTTTGTATCTCCCACAAGGCTGCCCCAGTGTCTTCGTGCAAAGTGAGTGCTTAACAATACCTGCCCAGTGAATTCTGGAGCTCTCAACTCAGGTAGGAAGAGCAGTAGTGTTATCCCCAAAGACGGCAGACACGTGGCACAAATCGCTGCCTTGCTCCTTCTAGCCTGCTAGGTAGGAGCACAGCTAGGACTGCTTTCCAGTGGTGCTGCGTGAGTCCCTGGGCTCACTCACACACAGTCTGCTGCTCCACCCTATTTGATGTCCCTTGGGACTTAGAAAATGGGTGAACCCCAGGGCTTTTCCCCAGTACCTTGTGTCTTGGTCTTATGTCTTGTCTCTCTGCATGTCCACCCTGAAGCTGGATTTTTGTCTTTTCTTTAAAACCCACAGACCAGTGTCAAGGATGGTTTGTATTGTTCACTTACTTGTGATTTTGCTACCTGACATTACCTTAAATTCTTTTCCTGCTCAGGCCTGTAGTTGCCCATGGCCCTGCTCCTGTCCCGCTCCTGGCAGGACCTGCTCTCTCTCCCGGTGGAACCCCGAGGATTGTGTCTTGCCTGCTACAGCAAAGGACTCTGAATTATTTCTACTTCATCTTCTGGTTTGGCCTTCTGTTGGGCATGGATGTTAGACTGTTTTTTCTTTTCAGCTGAATTGCTTTATATTTGCCTTTATATGAGCTTGGTCCAAACCGATGTTGAGATCATAGATGGTGGATGGTTGGGATCATGGATGGTGGATGGTTGGGAACATGGATGGTGGATGGTTGGGATCATGGATGGTGGATGGTTGGGAACATGGATGGTGGATGGTTGGGAACATGGATGGTGGATGGTTGGGAACATGGATGGTGGATGGTTGGGATCATGGATGGTGGATGGTTGGTGGGGAGCACTAGGTTATGCTTTTAACCTAATTTAACAAATATCTTTATTAATTGAGATGAGGTTCAACATTTTAGGCACAAATCAGAAAATCTTTTGTCCTGGTTGCTTGTGGAAGAAATAATAATTTTTCCACCATCATCATCATTGCTGCCATTTATGGTGGTCCTACTGTGTCTCAGCTGTGTACAAATAGCTTTACTGTTATCATCTTGATCTTGGAGATCAGTGAGGCTGGTATTACTGCTAGGCTCATTTTATAGATGAGGAACTTGAAGGTAGGCAGGGTCAAGTGACTCATACTCTGGCCAGGTAGCTCGGTTGGTCAGAAAATGTTTCTGATTTTCAAGTGGCAATAGGAAAAAGTGATTGCAGCTTTAAAATGTTATCTGACTAGCCCTGGTGGGTTCACTTTCCGGTCAGGGCACCTACGAGAAGCAACCAATGAGTGCAGAAATAAGTGGGACAACAAATCAATATCTCCCCCCCCCCCCCAAAATCAATCGCTAAAAATTAAGCCCTGGCTGGTGTGGTTCAATGGATTGAGCACAGATCCTGTGAACCGAAGGGTCACCAGTTTAATTCCTGGTCAAAGCACATGCCCGGGTCGCGGTCCAGGTCCGTTGGTTGGGTGTATGTGAGAGGCAGCCAACCGATAGATGTTTCTCTCCTTCTTGGTCTCCCTCTCTTCCCATCTCTCTAAATAAATAAAACCTTTCTCAGAAATTAGAAAAATATTTTTAAAAATCAAGTGAGTCTTGCCCAAGGCCACACACAGCCGGTAAAGTGGAGGAGCTGGGTTTCGAGCCAGGTCTGCTTGACTCCAGACCCTGTGGGTCCCTGCAGTGCACTCATTCGTCCAGCTGCGTGGCCCCCTGCACACCCCTGCTGTGTATGCATCCTCTCTTCCTCTGCCGAGAACTCCGGGGGACCTAATGCGGCCCCTCTGTTCCCACTTGTTTCCCACCGAGATGCTCCAGTGCCTTTGAACCTGATGAAGTAGTGAATGCTGCAGCTCCTGAAGGTGTGGCTTCTGTTTGCTCTGTACCCCCCCCCCCCCCAGCCTAGAGGCCTCAGGTCAGGCAGCCCCTGCCGTGGGGGTGAGGGGTGGGGGTGAGGGGCTACGGAGATGGCTCACTGGCAGGGCTGGGTCCCTGAATATTGCCGATCGGGAGCAGTGGTCCCGTGAGCCTTTGGGACCTGGAGATGAGAGGGGTGGGCCCTCTGGGAGCACTGGCTCTGTCTATGACTTCCAGCACTGATTTTGGCTACTCCGTCTTTGGGGACATCGTGTCATTTCCCTGCTTAATGACAAGTAGTGCTGGGGACCAAGTTGATGTACCCTGGCTGTGAGCTGTAGCCATTTCTAATCATCAGTAATTGCTCTCGTTTGCCTTTAGTACGTGTCTATGCGAACGTCTGGCTGGACTGCTTTTCCGGCATATTTGTAGAGGGACGTTATTGCAGTTCCTTCTCCAAACTCCGAAGTAGTCCCTTGGCCACTTTCCTCCCCCCTCCCAGTTTTTTGTGGCCGGTCACTTAATATATAATATATGGCATAGCAGGGCAGCTGGGCTTGTGCTCTAGGCCTTCGGGGCCCAGTAGGACCGGACCGGTGGGGTGAACAAGCAGTCACCACTCCTGGGTGCCTCTTGGCTGACTGGAAACTTGCTGGTAAGTGACCGATGTGGAAACCCATTAGTCTAGGAGGAAATGGCTCAGGCCTTGACTTTGACCACTGTTTATCTTTCATCTAAGGGAGTGGCAAGCCGCTCCAGACACAGTCCTGCAGCCCTTCCAGCAGGTATGTATTGAGCACCTAGAGTGTGCTTTGCCTAGTGGGGGTGAAGGAAGAAGACGAGAAGGAAGACCCAGCCCACTGGGTTTTACTCTTTAGTCCAGAAGAAAAGCTTGCATGTACGAAACCCCAAGGACCAGTGTTTTAAACAATACTCAGGGCCATTAGAATTTAAAGTAGTACTTAGTGACGGTGTCCTATGGCTGTTGTAACGAACTTCACAAACCCAGTGGCTGAAGACATTTATTATGTTCCAGCAAGGCGGGCAGAAGGTAGCCTGGGTCCCCAGGCTGTGTTTCTTCTGGAGGCTCTGGGGGACAGTTTGTTTCCTCATCCTTTCCAGCTTCCGGAGGCTGCCCTTGTCCTCTGACTTGTAGTCCCTCCCTCCCTGTGCAAGGCCAGCAGTGTAGCGTCTTTATCTATTTCTCTCTGTCCCTCTGCTTTGTTGTCACATCAACTGTGGAGTCCTGCTGCCTCCCTCTTACAGGACCCTTTCAGTTACATCACCCCCCACCCCCATAACCTAGGGTAACCTTCCCATCTCAGGATCCTTAGCTTAAGCAGTCTCTCTTGCCATGTAAGGTAACACCCACAGGTTCCTTAAATCTAGGGACTAAGATGTTATATTCTTGGGGGGGTGGGTTGGCATTATTCAGTCTACAATAGGATGTGTGTTGGGGGGATTGGAAATGGTTGAGAAGGTCTTTCTGAAAGAGGTGGTTTGATCAAATTTGTGTAGGGAAAGAGGGCCTGGGACTTAGTCCAGGTTTGAGGGATGGCATGAGCCATGAGCAAATACTGGGGCTGTGCGCTGGTGGAGCCGTAAGGTGCGGGCCAGTGATCTTCCCGTGGAAACAGGATGCCAGGGCCTTTCCTTCCCTTCCAAGGCCCAGCCAAGGGGGGTTTCTAGACTTCAGTCTTTAGGCCCAGAATTCACATGAGAGGGCTTCAATGCAGTTATCATCCTTTCCCTTCCCTGCAGCTGCAGTCCTGCTTGGGAGACCCAGCCACGCTTGGTGGCCCCCTGCAGTTCTTGGGCAGTGGGAAACTCACAAATTCACGAGGGAAAATGAACTCGAGCCAACTGGCCAGGGTTTGGGCGGCCCAGAAACTCTGGTCACACTGTTTGCACAGCCTCTGACAGTTACCATACTCACATTCACTCCCCGGGGAGCCTTCCCTTGTCTTTGTCTGTTCCTGGGGTGCTCAGGGCCCCTGAGTCTCTGGGGAGGGAGAGGAGGGGCCAGAGAGGGAACAGCTTGTGAAAGGGGCAGAGAGCCAGGCCCTCTCCAGGATTCTCCTGGGGAAAGCCTGGGGTTGCAGTGAAAGGTGGCCGCCTGCTGGTGTGACCTCAGCTCTGCCCACTCTCTGCTGGCTGAGGGGCCTGTGGAGAGAAGCGCCTGACCCCATGGGGGGTGGGTGCGTGGGAACCGGCAGGCGAGGGTGGGCTTCTGGGCGCAGAGTTGGGGAGCAGCATGGTGTGTGGCTGTGCTGAACTGCAGGCGAGAGCGCAGCTGAGATCTCTGTGGAGGTTCCCGTTGTTTCTGCCCTGGAAAAGCTGAAAACGTTGTTTGGAAAAGTTGTGCCTTTTCTCTATTGCTCCCTTCTGGTACCTTCTCTGACGAGATTCTGATGGTGGAGTTAGGGGGTGGTCCTGGCGAAGGTCAGAGGCTGTCCGGGGACCCCGTAGAATGTAGTTGAAAGACCCAAGGAGGCAGGCTGCAGTCCCTGAGGAAGGACGTGGCCCGGGTGCAGGTACCGGGTGAACTTCCTTTCCCCTACGTGGCCCGTGCGCTTTGGAGAGGTTGCCTTCGGGGGACACCCCCTCGCTTCTTTCCCGTCTGCCTCTAGAGCAGGTGTGGCGCGTCAGGCTTCCACTTGGGTGTGGGGCGAGAGGATGACATCAGCCTCCTCCGCACCTGGACCCAGCCGCCCTGAACTGAACTGTTTTCTGGAAAGCCTCCAGAGCACCGGCCGGCACAGAGGGCTCACCAGCAAGTGCCCCTTCCCTCTCCTGCCTTCTCAGCCCACTGGTGGAGGAGGGCGGGCCAGCAGGGAGTGTCGCTGAGTCCTGGGGATTCCTCGGGACCAGAGAAGCAGAGGTCCTTTAGGAGGTGAGTGCCTGCCTCTGTGAGACCTTTTTTCTGAGATTGGTGGGGGCAGCTATGTCCTGCCGCCTCAGTGGTGAGAGGCCTGGGGACAGAATTGGAGAGGGGAGCAGTTGTGGGTTTTGGTGGTGTCATTTTCTTCTTGGAGGCAGGGGTGTGGGTCAGACTGTGGGCGTGGTGCCTGAGGCCCAGTGGGGACGAGTAGGGTGCAGTCTTGTGGTGTCAACTGTGCTGGGCACCCTCGGGGCCTGCTGCAGCCTGCCTGCCTCCTGCCTGGGGCTTCTCAGGGATGGTCCTCGTGGGGGCGGGGTAGACACCTAACAGGGATGGCTTATGTTTCACTTAGAGAAAGTTCTACAAACAAAACAGAATACCAGATCTTCCTTCCTCTTCTGCCCCCAGGCTCTTAGAGGTGTGTGTCTGAGCATCTTCTTGGGCTCTTCGAAAGGAAAGGTCCTAGCTGACCTTGTCGAAGGGGGCTTCACAGGCCTGGTATTTGAAATGGTTTTCTAGAAGATTGATTTGCTGATTGATGATTGACTGGATTGGTTCATGCTGAGAGATGGAAGAGGTCACAGTGGGGCAACTGGAGACAGGGCATTACAGGATGGGGCGGCCGTGGGCACCTGTCCGGAGGGTTTGGCTGCCCTCTGCCTGTGCCTCTTTCTGTAAGCCTCCACTTCCCCAGCAGACAGTGTCTTCCAGAATGAGTTTGAAGACCTGAGTTCTGATCTTGGCTTTGGGGCGAGTCTTTTTCCGTGAGGTGATGCTTAGTGGAGAGGAAGGAAGGGTTGGCTCTGCCCAGGGGCTTGTGGGTAGTTGATACCTGAGCTGTCTCTGTGAGGGTCTGATCACACACAGTCATGGCTGGGAACGGGCTTTGGGACCAGAATGCACTCAAATGCAGTGTGATGGCTCTTCTATGTCACTGTCAAGTGGTGCCTACTCACAGTCCCCCCTGGACCGCACCCTGTTTGCTCTCACTGCCCATTTTGCTTTTCATTCTTCCCTGCGGGGTCTCTACATTCATTTCTGGTCCTCTTATCCAGGAAAGAGAGCCTTGTGATTCTGGGTCTCCTGGTCACTGCCCAGCTTTTCTCATCATCCAGGGAATTTATAGTCTGACCTCATGACCACATGCTTTTTCCCTTCTTCATGACCTGCGATCTTTGACCTGGAATCCATATTTTACTGTGTTATTCTAATAGGAGGGTAGATGGTCACAGTGTAGCAGGTCTAGACATAATGGTAAGGAATCTGAACACTCAGCCCTTTGCCTCCGCGGGCCTTTGGGGGGTAAATGAACGTCATGTTAAAAACCCTGCCCTGACTGGTGCGGCTCCGTTGGGCGTCGTTGGTGTCATTCCTCAGGTCAAAAGGTCGCCAGTGATTTGATACCTGATCAGGACACATACCTGGGTTGTGGGTTCCGCCCCAGGTCCAAGCCACGTACAGGAGGCAGCCGATCAATGTTCCTCTCTCACATCAGTGTTTCTCTCCCTCTTTTTTTCTCTCCCCCCTCTCTAAAAATAAATAAAATATTAAAAAAACAAACAAAAAAAACAACCCCTGCTCTGTCAAGTCTTAATATAATATGTCCCCCATGGCTTGCGCTGAGACAAATCTGTGGCATTCAGGGCTGTGACTAACCCTTTGTCTGTGGTCCTGGCTGGTGTGAAATCCATGAGGGAGGCAGGAGAGCACGAACGCAGAAGCCTGAGTTCAAGTCCAGGCTCTTCTTTTGGCCTCAGTTTCTGAATCTGTAAAATGGGGATAATTATAGTATCTAGCTCACAGAGTTTTTAGGAGAGATAAGTGTCTCTAGCGCTTAGAACATTTTCGCTGTTATGCTTGGTGTTAGTCCCAAGAGGAGCCAGACTTGCAGGTGGATACGCTACATTTAATCAGAGAGTTTCAGTGGGAAAGATATTTTAGTTTCTGAGCTTGAAGTGTGCTTATGTTGCCATGCGGTCCCGAAAGAGCGACCCACAGAAGGTTTCCTTTAGAGATCCCTGAGAGAGTGTGGGGGGCGGGCGTGATGGGCGCTGCGGCCCGGCCAGCTGTGAAGTCCATTTGGGACTTGGGCCTTTTCCATTTGGCATCCCTCTAGGGGCTGACTGACCCCAGGCCTGTTCTGGGAAATGTCTTAGGCCCCCACGAGTCCTTGTTCCGTGGTTCCAGCTGGGACTGCCTGACAGGGAAGGGAGGGGTGGGGAGGAGCTGGGGTGGGGGGTGCAGCGTGCCACGTGTTTTGAAGGACACCAGAGTCTCACGGGGCTGGGGCAGAGGACGGGTCTTTGTCTTTCTTTGTGCTGAAATGACAGGTATTACCCTGACGGCTGGTTGTGTAGAAAGGCCTGGCTGGTTAATTTTGAAGGCTCTTTTGGAGCGGAAGGCAAAAGCAACGGTGCTGCATTTCCCCAGGGGCTGTCCTCTGAGATGCGCAATTCCACCCCGATGATTCTGAGATTAATTCTCCTTTGGTTGTGCCTGAAAGGAGGGACAGTGCACGACTGGTCCCAGTGCTGCCGCTGTGTCCTCACCTGTAAAGCAGGAGGCTCACATAGGGCACCTCAGGTGATACCGCTCTTCCCCAGCTCAGACCCACAGTGACAAAGCCCTGTGCTTGAGAGGTCCTTGCTGGACCTGCAGGGAAGGGTGGTGAATAGGTCTCGATTCTCCTGAAGCTTTGTAGAAGTACCAGTTTGTTCACCACCATTATTCACTGGTCAGGTCATTCTTAAAGCCCCAGCTCTTAGGTCACTTACAGTCTAGGATAGGGGGTCGCAAACTCCTCACAGTCTAATGCGGGGAGTGCTAGAGTAGGTGTAACCCTGGGGTGCTGAAAGATTATACAGAGGGTGCCCCAGATTTGGTTCCGGGGGAGGTTTCTAGAGGGCGATGGCTTCTTATCTGAACCTGAGCATTGGGTATAAGTGAGGCCAATTGTGGGGTGCAGCTATGTGGCATGGGATGGATGGGAGGAAATACTGTCCAGGCATAGAGAACATTTGCAAAAGCCAGAGCTTGGGGGGGGGGGGCAGTGTGGGCACAGCTGGGGGCTCTGGTTCCAGGTTGGGACAGAGGCACAAAAAACTGGTGGTGGTGGGGGCAAATTCATGGTTACTGGAGTGACAGTACCTTCTAGGTCCTTCTCATAGCTGTGGTCTGTGATTTGGACGTTTCTGAACCCAAGAACTAAGGGCCAAAGGCTTCAGGTCAGTGTAGGTGTGAAGGATGTTCTGGAACTTTTTTCCTCTGGAAACGGCATCAAATACACATTCTGGAAACCCAAATATTACTTTCTGGAAAGTAGTCTCAGTGAGCTCTGGTCCTCTGGGGTGGAGGCAGAGTGTCTCTGTTTTCCTCAAAGGCCACAGGCCCTCCCCTGACCGCTGCTTTAGGCAGGCCTACCTATGGGCCGTACCATCTGTTCAGGGAATAAAAGTCCACCTGAGGCTGTGTTTGCCTCACCTGGGAGCAGCTTCCTGCTTGCTCTGCTGCCTTGCCGTGCGGCGCTTAGGGAGACTCACCAGTGGCTCAGCCCTGGGGAATTTCCTGTGCCCTAGGAGCCAGGGTGAGTCAGGGACTTGTATCAGGTGCTGGGGTGGGGCAGGGAACAGGGGATAATGTGGGCCCAGCCTTCGTGCCATCTCATCTGCCTTCTCTGTCAGCACCCTGAAATTTTCAGGTTCATGGTGCAGCCACTGGTGCCCTAGAGATTTTGCAGTCTCGGGGACACTGGTGCCTTCTGGTGCACGCGTTGTCTTAGCTTTTAAGAGCCAGATCTTTGCCTGCCCTCATCTGGGGACCCCATCGCAGGCTCTGACAGGTGGGCACTCGGGAGGAGCTTTTCAACAACTACGTTTAGCATCACCATTTGGACTGTGTATGGAGCCCCTGCCCTGTGCCAGGCACCAGGCTCAGAGCCAGTAGGACAGAGCTGGGGCAGGTGTGAGGAGACGAGGCGCTGAGAGGCTAGGTACTGGGGTTCCCTCGGAAGGCACTGCCCCCAGGGCTCTGGCAGGGATGTCTGCTTTGCCTTTCAGGGGCCTCGGTGGCTGAGCCTTTCTTGTCTCCAGATGGGGCCCACACCTTGCTGCCAGCCTGGAACAGTGGCAGTGGAGCTGTTGGAGTCAGGAGGGACTGTTTGGGCCTCCTCGGAGATGCTCGTGGGGCCTGAGGGAAGGGACTTCATGGGGGTTCAGAGTTGCAGTTTTTAAAATTGTGGTAAGATGGTTTTAAAAATAAGATAAAATGTGCACTTTAACCATTTTTAAGTGGCACTGAATGCATTTACATTGCTGTGCTTCCATCACCAGGAATCCATCCACAGAATTTTTTTTCTTGAAACCTGAAACTCCGTATCCATTAAACAACTACCTCCTCCCTCCCCGACCCAACCCTGGCAGCCACCCGTTTACTCTGTGTTTCTGTGAGGACTCAGAGCTTGACTCCTTGTCCGCCCTGCACAGAATCTCCCCGGAGTGCCCGTGCTGGGCAGCGATGCCAGGATGCCCGTCTCTGCCTCCCTCCACCCGGACAGCAGGCAGGAGCGGCCGGCAAGCCTGACCTCCACCACGTCCTCATCCGGCTCCTCCCGTGACAGTCGAGGCACCATGGAGGAGCCCAGTGGCCCCGAGGCCTCAGCCAAGAACGGGGCAGGCTCCCCACGTGGCCGGCACCCGCGCAACAACAGCAGCAACTCCAGCAGCTGGCTGAACAAGAAGGGGCCGCTGTCCCCATTCAGCGGCCGGGCAGCTGCGGCGCCTGCGCACAAGCTCAGCTACCTGAGCCGCGTGGTGCGGGAAATTGTGGAAACCGAGCGCATGTACGTGCAGGACCTGCGCAGCATAGTGGAGGTAAGGCCCTCCTGGCTGCAGAGCTGCGTGTGCCTGCCACCTCCTCTCGGGCTGGCCTTGGCGGCCTGGCTCTTGCATAAACTTATCACCACCAGCCCGGAAGGACAGTTCTTCCTGGCACAGTTATCTCAGAAGGTTTGCTTCCTGTGAGTAGCGGGGCAGCCTCCCATCTGCCACCCTGGGGAAGCTGCTGACTGCTCACACTGCCTTGTGACTCTGGCTCAGACCAGTTGCTCTGGCCGCAGAACTGCAGGTCTCCAGGGAGTAGGCACCCTTGACAAGGTTGGAAGGGACTTCTGCGCTCAGCAGAGACTGAATGAGCTGAAGAAACTGACTCTAGACCCTGCCTGCCTGCTCCCAGATCCCTGCTCTGTGGTTTGGTAGCTGTGGGGGGGGGGGTCTCAGGCACGGGGTTCCCCCCGCTCCTGGCAGCACACACACGGCCTCAGGTTCCGAAATGATGAGGCATCTACCTGGCAGGGCTGTGGAGGTGAAGCATTTCACACTGTGCAGGGCACACAGGAGAAGATGGCTGTGTGGCGGCCCCCAAGGAAGCCACCCACTGTGGAGGGGGTTGCCTAGGGCTGCTGTGACAAATTACCACAAACTGTGTGGCTTAAGACGTAGGCATTTATTGTGTCCTGGTTTAGGAGGCCAGAGTTCTGAAGTCCAGATGTCGGCAGGGCTGGCCCCTTCTGCAGGCCCTGAGGGACAGTGCGTTCCAGGCTCCTGTCCCGGCTTCGGGTGGTTGCTGGCCATCCTTCCTGTGCTTTGTGCCCTGCAGGTGGCATCACCCCAATCTCTGCCTCTGTCTTCACGTTGCCTTCCTCTGTCTCTCTGCTTTCTCTTAGAAGGACACTAGCCATTGGATTTAGGGCCCACCCTAAATCCAGTATGATATCATCTCAAGATCTTAACTAGTTACATCTGCAGAGGTCACATTCTGAGGTTCCAGGCAGATATTAATTTGGGGGTGGAACTGTCCAACCCAGGCCAGTAGGTGATGTTTGAGAAATAGCTGTCCGACGAGGTGTGGCCGGCCTCTGATTCCTCTCTCCTTGCAGGACTACCTGCTGAAGATCATTGACACACCTGGGCTGCTGCAGCCAGAACAAGTTAGTGCCCTCTTTGGGAACATAGAAAGCATCTACGCACTGAACAGGTAGGGAGTGGGCCTGGCATACACTGTGTTGCACCTGTGAGGCCCATCTTGGGGCCGGGGGGGGGGGGGGTAGTGGTGAATCTTGGATGTCCCTGGTGTGGTGGGCTGTGCCGTGTGGGCCCAGGGCCTGCTGTCCGAGGGTGGGGAAGGGTGGCCCAACTCTGTACAAACTTCAGTTAGCTCCCTATAGGAGAGAGGACCCGTGGAACCGTGTGCCCTGGGGTTGAGGTGCTTCCTGTCGGGCAGAGAGGTCATCTGAGGCCGTGAGCTTGTTGGGTTTAGCCTGAACCAATGCCCCCTTGGGACTGCTGGACCCTTGCACACGATACTTTCCCCTCTCTCCCTTTGTGACCCCTTTGTCCTTTCATCTTTGTCTTCCACTTGCACATCTCTTAATTTCTTCTCCGTCTTCCTCCTGACCTCCTGGGAAGGCAGGGCTCCCTGGAAGGGATCTGACCCATTAGGGAAGTGCACAGGTCAGACGACGGGATGGCTGAGGCTGAGCAAGCCCTGGTGAGGGGCTGCTTCAGGGCAGAGGGGCCCTTTGAGGATCCACTGTGTGCTGCCTGGACCCACAGATGCCCCAGAGGAAGGGCAGGGGTCGGGAGGAGCAGAGCTTGAGGGGGCAATGCAGATAGTTCGGGAGGAACCTTACCCCAGGCCCTTCAAGATGAGCAGAGAGACCTCCTGCTGTGCATGCTAGAGCAGTCTGGAAGGAGACCTAGGCCAGATTGTGAGGGGATGGGAAGGGGGGAGCACCCTTTCTAGGGTTTTCTGTAGTGCCCCCATCTAAGACAAAGGGGTTCTGGAGTCACCCTGTCTCTCCTATTACTGCATCCTTTGTAACTGGGGACCTTGGTTCCTTTGCAAGCCCCCTTTCTCTTTTCTTTCTCCTTTAATCTCTGCTTTTGTGTATTTGACTCCTTCTGCCTGCAGAGGAGCCGTGTCCTCTCCCGAGGTGGGTACTGGTGTCCCTTCTTCCTCTTGCTGAGCATGTGGGTCTCCCTTGCTCCCCTTCTTTGCAGTGTTGCTGGATGCTGTCTGTGGTTGCTGCCCCGGGCAGGGCTCACTTTGAGGGTGGAAGCCCTGGCTCTTTGGCATGACACCAGGGCTGGCTGTGTGTCTGGGCACCAGGAGGTTGGGGAGGGGCTGTGGAGGCTGCAAGTGGTCTGGCGTCTGATGACCTTTCTTCCTTACTCAGTCAGCTACTCAGAGACCTGGACAACTGCAATGGTGACCCCGTGGCTGTGGCCAGCTGCTTTGTGGAAAGGGTGAGAAGGGCTGGGTCCTTGCCTCTTGTCCTGTTCTGCTGGAGGCTCAGTGGGACAGAAACTCCTACCTTCACAGGACACCTGAGCCTTGCGGCCCCCTCTCCAGGGGCAGTGCCAGGTGTCCTGTCTGGAATGGGGAGGGTGTTCTGGGGTGGAGCCGGGGGTTGCTGGGTGGATGGCATGTCCCAGACAGATGGGTACAGAGGTGGATCTACAGATGCTCAGAGAAAGGGGTACAGAGTTGCTCTGGGGACTTAGGGTATGTCTTTGGTGCACCTGGGTTTATAGTCTAGTGGAGTCTCTCTGAAATCACTATTTTTGGTTTCTCCTTAGAGCCAAGAGTTTGATATCTACACCCAGTATTGCAACAACTACCCCAAGTGAGTAATGGGGGCGGATAGGGGAGGCTGATCCATTTGGTGAGTCTGGAGCACCCCACTTGCCCACCCAGGCCTTCCGAGGCGGTGACAGTCCTTTCCCCACCCCCAGCTCAGTGGCCGCCCTGATGGAGTGCATGAGGGACAAGCAGCAGGCCAAGTTCTTCCAGGACCAGCAGGAGCTGCTGCAGCACTCACTGCCCTTGGGCTCCTACCTGCTGAAGCCAGTCCAGCGCATCCTCAAGTACCACCTGCTGCTCCAGGTAACCCAAGGGTCCCCTGAGTACATGGGCGGCTGCGGGAGGGCCGGACCCTTGAGTCTGTGGGCTACCTAAGTCCCTGCCTCCCAATAGGAAATTGCCAAACATTTTGATGAAGAAGAGGAAGGCTTCGAGGTGGTGGAGGATGCCATTGACACCATGACCTGCGTGGCCTGGTACATCAACGACATGAAGAGGAGGCATGAGCACGCAGTCCGGCTCCAGGTGCTCTGGGCGGGTGGGTCTGAGCCTGGAGAGGGAGTTTGGTTGCCCTGCAGGGGGAGCAGAGGGGCAGCGTCCGAGTGGGACAGGCTTCCCTGGGGAGACCCAGCAGTGGCTGGATTTTCGGGAGCCTCCAGAAGCCCTTTGAGGTCCCAGCAAGGTCATAAGAAGCCTGACCTTAGGGGTCGGGGCTTCTGTGCCGCAGGAGATTCAGTCGCTGCTCATCAACTGGAAGGGGCCGGACCTGACCATCTACGGGGAGCTCGTCCTGGAGGGCACGTTCCGCCTGCACCGGGTGCGGAGCGAGAAGACCTTCTTCCTCTTTGACAAGGCACTGCTTGTCACCAAGAAGCGGGGCGATCACTTTGTCTACAAGGGGCACATCCCGGTAATCAGGCTGCCGCCATCTCCTCTGCCTCCTTCCTTCCCCTCCTTGACCTTGTCCTTGTCCTCATTGTCCCCAAGTCAGTGCGGATGCAGCTCCGTCCTTCTTCCGATTATCCTCCCTGCCTCCCCAGGCGATTCTGAGGGGCTGGGCTCCAGGTTGGCTTCCCCTCCCCACTCCCTGTGCTTGACTGCCCTCTCCCTCCCCACCAGTGCTCCTCCCTGATGCTGATTGAAAGCACCAGAGACTCCCTGTGCTTCACCGTCACTCACTACAAGCACAGCAAGCAGCAGTACAGCATCCAGGTGAGGGATGGGCCGGGGGCCCAGGCTGGGGACAGACTTGCCTCTGCTCACTGAGCTGCGCTGAGCCTCAGGGCCTCCCTCTGGAAGGTTGGGGTCATTGCGGGCACCCCTCAGGCTTGTGCTGACGAGTTGAAGTAGCGTCACAGAGGCCCCAGTAGAGGCTCTCTGTCCACCTCCGTCCTGCTCGGCAGAAGCATGGCCCACATCGTGTGCCTTCAGGCCTGGGGTAACCCCTGGCTCCCTCTTCCTTGGGTCCTCCCAGGCCAAAACAGTGGAGGAGAAACGGACCTGGACTCACCACATCAAGAGGCTTATCCTGGAGAACCACCATACCACCATCCCCCAGAAGGTGCATTCCTGGGACACCCCCACCCCCAGGTCCTAATGGGGTACAGGGAGAGGGTATCCTTCAGAGCCAGCTGCAGGGTCCACCGGGGTCACCCTCCGGACATTGGCTCCACAGTGGGGGTCAGTTCAGTGGAGGCCCTGGCCCTGGGCCTCAGCAGAGCACCGCAGAGTCTGTGCACTGGGGGCGGCACGGCACGTGGCAAGGTTGTAATGAGGTGGGTTTCTCCCCATCCAGGCCAAGGAAGCCATCTTGGAAATGGATTCCTATTGTAAGTATATGTGGCCTCCCTGCCTGCTCTGTCCCTGTTCGTGTGCCTTTCTATGTCAGGCTGCGACCTGGGGAAACTTTGCCCGAAGCTAAGATTCCAGGGAGCCCCTAGGGAGGCCTGGGTAACTACTTCTATCAAGGCCTGGGGGTCTACCGTGAGCCTAGGGGCATGGCACTGCTGGTGGGTGGACCCTCCATGCCTGATGCTCCGGAACGCAGTTGAAGGGAAGATGGAAGAGGAGGGAGCTTTGGAGGCTCCTGGCCCCAGGGGCTGGGGTGGGCATCAGGGCTGTGGTTGGGTGCAGGCAGAGTCTAGGCCACAGCTGACAGGGTCCTGAAGGCCTGATTGTCTCTCCTGAGTGCAGATCCCAATCAGTACCGCTACAGCCCAGAGCGCCTGAAGAAGGCTTGGTCCTCCCAGGACGAGGTGTCCACCCACGAGGGGCGCCGCCAGGGCCGCCGGCAGTCTGGTAAGGGCTCCGGGCGGAGAGGCATCTTCATGGGCCCCTGACCAGGTGTGGGGGCCCTTTGCAGCAGTATTTGGGGCTGGCTCGCACCTCCAGAAATCCTGGGAAAGGGCAAGGCGGGCGTGTGTGGAGCACCCTCTCCGTGTGCCACCCTCTACCTGGCACCTTTGGGCCTTTCTTGCCCATCAGGGCTGGGCAGCCCCTTTTCCAGGGCCCTAGGAATGCTCGTTCCCTTGGGCCCTGGCACCCTGCTCAGCTCCCTGCCACTGAAACCTCCCTCCCTCACCACTCAGAACGCTGGCGGTCAGCCAGGGGTAACTCTCGGGCGTGGGTTGTGGAGCTGAGCAGAGGCAGGACATGGGGAAAACAAGTTATACTCCAAGTGGCATCAAATCCAGACGGGAAATATTGACTTTGGGTCTCAGGAAAAGTTCCATTTTCCTCTCCTGGGTTTTCCACGACTGGACTTGCTGCCATGTTCAAGAGTCAATGGGGTTAGCTGTCCATTGAGAAAGGGAAGACATTGCTTTAATTCTTAGCTCTCCTGGTGATGAGTGTGTTTTCTTTCTTCTTTTTTTTTTATGAGCATCCTTTAAAAAATTTTTTTTAATTGTATTTTTTTGCATTACTATTTATCCCCCTGAGTGTGTTTTCTACATCTGTTTTTACTCTGCTTTTCAGTCTGAGGCCCAGAGAAGAACTTGGCCTCAGCCAGGTACCTGCCAGACTTCTCCGCATGGTGGGAGTTAGGGTGGGAAATGTCTCGGAGATCCCCAGAGAGACACTCAGGCGTGACCGGGAGCAGTGTCCTGGCTTGGATCTCTGCAGTGCTTTGGGCTTCAATGGGCTGCGGCCCACAGGCCCCGTGGACAGCTGTGTGGATCGATGCACATGCTTTGGTTTTCTAAGCTGAGCTGTCTCTGGAAAGCTTCTGTGGTTTTACTTTGTTTGGTATTGCTCCCAGTGGATCTTGAACTCTAGGCAAATTGTCACCATTGCAAAATGTTATGGGGCCATATGTTAAAAGCCCCAGATTGGCGGTGTTAACTTCCTTCTATAATCCTCTTGCTGCCCCTCTAGAATTCTCTCGTAACCTGCCATAGCTTTAAATTGGAAGCTGCTGGCAACGTGGCTGTGCTCAGTAAGCATGGGTGGTGGTGGTGGTGGTGGTCCTGTAAGACTGCCTGTTGTGTGTTAGCACCCCAACTAGAGCTGCCGAGGCCCTCGGGGAATGAGCTGTTTCAGAGCTTAAGTCTCCACGTGGCCGAGATTTTAGCCTAGAAACTGAAAGAGTTAGGTTCACTCGTGTCTTGTTTTTGTGTTTTAGTTTTAACCGTTACAAGAGAGACATCTTTCTAACACACACTTTGTACGTACTCCGGAGCCTTTAAAACAGGATGCTGACCACAGGTGCAGGGCATCTCTGTGGTGTATGAACTGCTAGATTCTTCAGGGCCTTCCAGAGTGGGGACCTGGGGGTCCCCATACAGACAGCCTGCGTTTGTGGTCTTGTGTCCATACCTCGCTGATGAGTGTTTGTTCTCATCCATCTTGTGTGCTTCCTGCAGTATCCCTTCTTCCCCTTTCCATCTGCCAGAACTCAGGTGGTAGGACTTGTGGGGCGTGCGTGTAAGAGCAGGCCAGGACGTGGCCGAGAGGGGAGGGCGGGAGTCCCACGGAGCTTTCTGCCTGCTCGCAGCCAGCTGCTCCCACTGCCTCCGGGCCTTTTCTGCCTCCTGCTTGCAGAGAGCGGAAATGAGCAGATAAAGGGCATTTACGGATAAGTGAGGTGCTGGTGTCATTATTTGTCACTTGTTACACATTCTTGATTACAAGTTCTAAAATGAAAGACTTGAATGTTCTATGAAAACAGCTGGATGTTTAAGTTGTGCAGATCGCGCGCGTGTGTGTGTAGGTGTGTAGGTGCACACGTGCCTCAGGAGAGAAAAAGGTTTCCTGTATCCTCCTCTGCCCAGGAGCAGCTAAGAGACCTCAGTAGACTTTCCTTCCAGCTTCAGGTTTACAGTGGGCTTCCCACTTAATGCCCACTGGGCACGGCAGTATGGGTGGAGGCCAAGGCTCTACAGACTGGTCATCGACAAGTGTCCTCTTATCCCTGACTGCCTGCCTCAGGTCTGTCTGCAGAACAGGCTGGGGTACAGGGCAGTGACATCATCATCCACCTAATGGATGTGTTTTGTGTCCTGTCCCTAGAGCCTGGTCAGCCCCCGTGTGGCCGGCAGCACTCCCCGGCAGGCAGCAAGGCTTCACAGGGCCAGGCCTTAAGGGCTGTAGAAAGTCGGGTGCGACTTCTGCTTTCCGGTGGGGTGCTGTAAGAGAGCTTGGCCTGGGCTGTAGCTAATGTGCTCATGGGCTCATTGTGGGCAAGGTGGGGCTTGAGGTGGCGCCATGGACCTCCAGAGTGGCAGCTAGTTGGTCTGAAGGCGGGCAGTGTGGAGCTGTGGCTCCTTGTGTGAGCTGCCCTAACTCGGGACTGCAGGCACTGCTGCCCCTGGGGACTGGCAGTAATAGCCACGAGTCCAAGCCTGATGGGAGTGGCCCTTCCTCCCGGTGGGGTAGGTGTGAGGGCCACCTCCTTCAGGCCCTAGGGCTGGGGTGGGGGCAAGCCTGAGTGGACTTTGAGCTGGTGATGGGCTGGTGGTGCCGTGGGCGTGGGGGGCGGGGCTGTTTCCTGGCCTGCGCTGACGGCCCATGCACTTTCCTCCTCAGAGCCAACCAGACACCTGCTCAGGCAGCTCAGTGAGAAAGGTGAGTGTGAGGGTCAACAGCCAATTGGGTGGCTCTGGGGCAGGGTCCGGAAGGTGATGTAGGTAACCACCTGGGTGGGGGTGTTGAGGGCAGTTTAGAGGGGACTGTGTCTCTATTTTACCCAGAAAGTGGGCCTCTCCTTGCTGTCTAGCCAGGGGGCTTGATCCCCAACGGCCGCAGCTTTCACCCTGTTCTCAGGTGACAGCAGGAGCAAGCAACACTCACAGACCTGCATTGCTCTGCACACCTCCCTGCCCCTGGCCCCGGTTCCTGTTCTGTCAGTCATTCCTTTGAGGGTTCTAGGAATAGGAGCCCCCAGAGAGGTCTTCCCCAGGGGGCTCTAGGCCCCTGGACTCTAGCCTATGTCCTGTATAAAGAGGCTGGTTCTCCTGTTTACCTATCTTCCCTCTCCTCGCCCATGTACTGGGACTCTGCGGTGGCGGCAGCAGCCAGAGCAGTGGGAATGAAGGTAAGGTTTGTGGGCAGAGGGGACTGGATGGGTAGAGTGGGGTGGGACTGCCCAGGTCAGCCCCTGGCTCTAGCTCTCATTGTCTTCATTCATTTAACAAATACCTATCGAGCATCCCCTGAGCACCAGGCTCTGCCATGCGGGCCACAGAGGTGAATAAACCATGGCCCTGGCCTCAGGGACCCTCCTGTACCCTCACCCCGGTGGTGGCCTGCCCAGCCTGGATGCTCTCAGTTTCCTCTCTGGGGCAGGCAGGCTTCTCTGGTTCTTGAGTTCCTGACCAGGCCCCTGTCCTAGCTTTCCCCGGCCCCTACCTTGAAAACCACTCCTACCCCTCACTTCCCCTCACCCTTACCTGCTCTGGTCTTCACTGGGCTTAAGTGGAGACCAGGAGTTGGTATCTAGAGGTGCATCTCTGTATAAAGCCTCCTCACCCGCAACCACTGGAAGGAGGAGGGGGCGTTGCCCTGAGACTGGTCACGAGGGGTCTCGTGCTCCGAACAGCATGCAGGCAGTGCTGGTGCTCTCCTGGACTTTGGGCAGCCATCCCGTACTCGGGGCCTGCAGCCGGAGGCTGAAGGGGGTGCCCGGGAAGAGCAGGAGGAGGACGAGGAGGAGGAGGAGGAAGTGGTGGTGGAGGACGAGGAGGAGGAACAGGCCTTTCAGGTCTCTCTGGAGGACCTGGCAGGGCATGAAGGCAGCAAGAAGGGGTCTGGGCCGGAGCCCCCAGGCTCAGAGGAAGAGGAGGAGGAGGAGAGCCTGGCAGTGGCGGAGCAGGTAGCTGACTTTGCCAGCTCCCTGCTGGCCGCCCTCCACTGCTGGCACTATCGGGCCAACGCTTTACTTTTCTCCCGGGGTGCTATGGTGAGGTGTCTCTTTGATCTCCCCTCCTCCTTGCATGTTCCCTGGCATGTTCAAGCCCATGCTCATCCTAGAGTCCCTTTCCCTGCCCTTTCCACCCCTCTGTTCTCGTTTCTGTACTTCTGCCATCAGCATTTCTTAACCCCTCACTCACCGTCACGCCTGGGTGAGCCCCTGGCATGCAGTGTTCCAGCACTGGGTGCGAACTAGCATACTTACTACCCAACAAGCATGACTAACAGGGTGGGAGTGGTGGGCCGGGGAGAAGGTGGCACACAGCAGGGCTGCAAGGGTCAAGGGGGTTGGGCTTTTCCGAGGCTGCATACCTGGTGGAGATTTACATCCCCAGGTCAGGCAGTTCAGGTTGGCTCTGGCGCGGCTCAGGTCCAAAGCTTGCTCTCAGCAAAGCCCAGCCCCCTTAGGGAGCTACCCATGTTGGGATGGATGCAGAAGGCACCAGCTCCCAGTTGTCCTGGGAGTTGATGACCGCCCTCTGCTCTCTGCAGGGGAAGGGGCACGGGGAGTCTGAAGGCCCCGAGAGCTGCAGGAGGCCCAGCAGCCGGTCTGCCAACAGTGTTGAGAAGCGCATGAGCTTTGAGTCTGTTTCTTCTCTGCCTGAGGTGAGTGGCCAGCAGGCGGGAGGGGGACCATGCACAGGTATCTGGAGCCCAGCTCTCCAGGTCTTCCGGCGGGGCTCTCAGGCTTGGGCTTTCCCATTGGGTCTATGGGGACAGGACCCTATGATCCCTTTAGGAAGCCTGTCTGGCTTATGGGCACATAACTTGGTGAGCAGACAACCCCCTTCTATGAATGAGAGAAAGGCACTCCTTCCTTTGGGCAGATGTAGTCCTTTGCTAAGGAGCATGGTCTGCAGAAGTGACCAGATTTTAGATCCCTCAGCCAGGCCTCCCTGTGTAGGGCGTAAGGCGTACCTCCTGCAGGTCTGGTGTTTGTTTGTTTTGTCTGTTCTCTGCAACAGCTCTACAGGGTGGAGGAGGCTCAGGACAGTTGGGTGACGGGCCGGACATGGCTTCTGTGGGGCAGAGCTGAGACTGGACTGGGCCCGTGACTCGGAAGCCCAAGTCCTTCTTCCCACCACCCCACGCCATCTGTGTGTTGTCTGGAAATGGAGGCATTTGCTTTCTCAAAGTCACAATTTGTTCTTGAGGCCTAGACCTGTGAGGTGGGCCTCACGGCCAGAGACTGAGAAATTGGATGACACCGGGTAAAAGTCTGGAGTCATGCTGGCCACATGTGTGTGATCAACTTGTCTAGTAGCCACATGAAAAAATAATTTAATCCAGTATGTCAACCTGTTACCAGTTCAATATGTAATCGATATAAAAAGCTATTCGTGAGATGGTTTATGCTGCTTTCGTATGAAATTTGTGCAATTGGTGTGTATTTTACCTTTACAGCTGATTTCAGTTTGGACTAGTCCCATTTCAGGTGCTTGGAAGGCACGTGTGGCTGGAGGCTGCTGTCGTTGGACAGTGCAGGCCTAGGTCACGGCTTGTGCTCTGCAGATTCTGCACATCAGTGGGATCGAGTCTGATTCCTCAGAGTGTAGAGTGTGTGCTTATCTTCTCCCTACAGACCTCTCTGGAAAGCTGCCTGTACTGGCCAGTTTTGTGGTTCAGATGACTTATGGGGTGGTCAAGAGGAGGGAGATCTAGAATTTGCTTCCTTCCTTGCCCATCTGCTAGGCACATGCATAGGAGCCACATTCCTATCTCGCCCTCTTTGGGATTCCAGCATGTGGTTCTGTTGCCCTGTGGACCCCGAGCTGCGTGGGAGGCCCTGGCCTCTCAGGTTGGTTAGGCCTGGGTTTGAACCCAGAACAACTCCCTTGTGGGGAGCCTCTAAGACTATAGGGAGCTGCTTCACCACTGGGCAGGTGCTGCTTCAGTACTGGTGCTGTGGCTCTGAGTTTGTGTGTTTTGTCTGTCCGTGTAGCTCCCAGACAGGCTGCCACAGAGAGATGCCACCACTTTTTCCCATCCACATTCCTAGAATTTTCCTTGGGTTTGAGGACTGTGGGCCCAGCACCGCAGCTGCAGGGTCACTAAGGGGCAGCATCACGTTCCTCCCTCTGAGGAGTTGTTGCCCCTTTTGTCGTAAACGGCAGCCCCCTCTCACCAGGCTCTGAGCAGGCAGGCCGTGCTGTCTCCCTTGTCCCTGGGTCTCATGTGAGCTCCCTCTGCTCTCCCAGGCTGAGCCAGACCCTGAGCCTGGATCAGAGGCGGAGGTGTTTGCTGCCGTGGAAGGTCCCAGCTCGGAGGAGATGCCCTCAGACACAGAGTCTCCAGAAGTCCTGGGAACACAGCTTGATGCCCATCGGGAGCTGCTGGGGCTGGACCACCGAAGTGACATGGTGGACTTTGTGGTGGCCAAGAGCACTGAAAACATGAAGGCCTTGAGCAGTGAGGAGGAGGTGGAGGACGACGAGGAGGAGGAGGAGGAGGAAATGGGGACCGCCCAGGAGCCCGAGAGCCTCCTGCCGCCCTCTGTGTTGGACCAGGCCAGTGTGATTGCTGAGCGGTTTGTCAGCAGCTTCTCTCGGCGGAGCAGCCTGGCACTGGAGGACAGCAAGGCCGCTGGCTTCGGGACCCCGAGGCTGCCCAGCCGGAGCAGCAGTGTGCTCAGCCTGGAGGGCAGCGAGAAGGGCCTGGCCCGGTGCGACGGCACCACGGACTCCCTCAGCTCTCAGCTCCCCTTAGCAGCCGACCTCGGTGTGAGCGTGGCCACGGAGAGTGGCCCTTCTGTCAATGGGACAGAGCCCCCAAGCCCAGGCTGCTCAGCAGAGACCAGTAGGTCTTCTTCCTGCAAGAAGAAGGAATCGATGCTCTCCACACGAGACCGGCTGTTGCTGGACAAAATCAAGAGCTACTATGAAAACGCAGAGCACCATGATGCTGGCTTTAGTGTCCGGCGCAGGGAGAGCCTCTCCTATATCCCCAAAGGCCTGGTGAGGAACTCAGTCTTCAGGATCAACAACCTTCCCAGGCAGGACCCGGAGCCAGTGGCCCCGCTGGGGCACAAGAGACAGGTGGGCTCCAGGCCAGCTTCATGGACCCTGTTTGACCGACCAGGCCAGGTAGGGGCAGGTTCTGGTGACCCAGCTCCTATCACAGATGCTGAGTTCCGTCCATCTTCAGAAATTGTGAAAATCTGGGAAGGTATGGAATCTTCTTCAGGGAGTCCTCAGAAGGGGCCAGGCCAAGGTCAGGCCAATGGCTTTGACTTGCATGAGCCGCTTTTCATCCTGGAGGAGCACGAGCTAGGAGCTATCACTGAAGAGTCAGCCACTGCCTCACCAGAGAGCACCTCCCCCACCCAGCGGCCCAGCCCAGCCCACCTGGCCCGCGAGCTGAAGGAGCTGGTGAAGGAGCTGAGCAGTGGGTCCCAGGGGGATCTGGTGGCCCCGCTGCACCCCTGCATAGTGCAGCTCTCCCGCGTGATGGACAGCCACGTGAGTGAGCGAGTCAAGAACAAGGTCTACCAGCTGGCCCGCCAGTACAGCCTTCGGATCAAGAGCAAGGCAGGGACAGCCAGACCACCACTGCCATGGGAAAATGCAGCTGCCGCTGTTGCCCACCTGCCAGAGGAGGAGGCTGGATCACCATCCGGTGGCAAAGGTGTGACGGGGGTAGGGATTGGGCCCCTCCCACAAGTCTGGGGTTGAAGAGCCCTTTAAGAGTTAGTTGGCTTTTGGGGAAAAGGGATCCCTAAAGAACCTCTACCAGAGAAGGCTGGACCCCACACTGAGGGCCAAGGTCCGGGGTGAGCCCTGGCAGCTGGTCTAATGCTGAGACCACCCGTGCAGCCCTGGTTGAGCACTCTCACCGCCCTCCCCCTGTCCTTCCTGTGGAACAGAGACCTTTGGAGGAAATGGAGCCATGCCCTCTTCTCTAGGAGAGCAGAAGCTCTCGTCTTTCGTCCTTCAACTCTTGACCCCTTGTCCACTGCCTTTTCTTTATTCTCCCCATTTCCCTTTGATAAAGGGACCATGGATGGTAAATGAAGGTTCTCTTCCATCATTACACCCAAAACCCCACCAACCAGCCTTCCCCAGGAGTTCAGAGCCCTCACTTCCACTCTCCCTTCCTGCCCAGCGACTCAGGCAGCTCTCTCTCCTCACAGGTAAGAGAAAGCCAGTGCTGTCCCTCTTCAACCACGAGGAGGTGCTGGCCCAGGAGCACAGCCTGCCCAAGCCCTGTTTGGCTGGGGAGACATCACCGCGGCGTTTCTCCATCCCTTCTGCTGCCAACTCAAGGACCACCTCACCAGGGGCCCGGCCTGCCACTCGAAGCCCTCTCAGCCCATTTGACACTGAGACCTTCAACTGGCCTGACGTCCGAGAGCTCTGTTCCAAGTACGCCTCCAATGATGAGGCCGTCCAGGCCGAGGGAAGCCGGTCCCGAGGCCCACCCGTCAGCCGGAGCCGCTCAGTGCCAGAGAGCATGGTCGAGCCGCCTCGGTCAGGCAGGGTGGGCCGCTGCTGCAGCCTGAGTGCCAAGAGGCGCCAGGGCGGCCCAGAGGCTGCCCAGTCTCGGTCTCCTGGGGTGTTGCCCCAAAGTGGGCTGGACACAGAGGAGGCCCTATATGTCACTGCAGACCTCACCCTGGAGAACAACCGGCGGGTGATTGTCATGGAGAAGGGGCCCCTGCCTGGCCCTGCGGTGGGGCTGGAGGAGGGCAGAGGCCCTGGATGGAGCTCAGCAGCGGCCATAGAGGGGCAGGGCCAGGATTTGCAGGAGTCAGCCGAGTACCAGCCGAAGGAAGAGGGTCCCAGGGACCTAGTGGACCCAAGCCAGCAAGGCATAGTGAGAAACCTGAGGGAGAAATTCCAGGCCTTGAATTCTATAGGTTGACTCTTGAGTCCTGGGGGAGGGAGGAGTTTGGGGGATGAGGAGGAGCCTTGACATATGTCCACAAGTTTGGGCTCACCCTCCTTACAGGAGCCTCACCCAGGGCTCTGGGAAAGGCTGTGGACAGCCTCCCCACCACAAGCTCACGGTGACCTTCCACAGGTCCAGATGGGGCCCCTCTTCCCTCTGAGGCCAGTGTGGCCACTTCGCTTATATCCAGTTCTCTGGTGAGAAGCCAGATATTTAAGATCACCTCTTCCCAGGGAGAGCAAGCCCTGCTCAGGCCCCCAGTGTCAGCTGGCCACTGCCAGACCAAGGAGCCCGCCGGGGGAGGCGTGGGAAGGTGGTCCTGGGAGGCTTTGCTCTTTAGCCATGCCTTTTCTTAGGATCCGGGCAGGAATGAGATCCGTAATTTATTGTTTGTGTGCGTTCGTGAGTGTGTGTTTTCCCTGTTGATTCCCATCCTGTGAAGAATGTAAGGGACTCCGTTCAGGTACTTCTGTGGATTGTTTCGCTGACCCTGTGGTTGTCGCTAATGTATACACATTTCATTATTTGCCAATGGTGCAATAACCACTGCTGACCAACTGACCTCTGTGTGTGGCCTCCTTACTGGGCCTGGCTCGAGTGGGGAGAGTTGATCGTGGTGGGGGTGGGAGGCGGGATGTTGTGGGGGGAGCTTAGACGTCCGCTCCTACCATCCATGCTTATGAAGTAGGAGGCACCAGGGTGCTCGTGGGGAGCTGGGGCAGCAGGAAGTATGGGAGGGGACTTGTTCCTGGCTGCTGTGCTTCCATGGGCTCCTCTGTCGACCCCCAGCCTGGCATCCTGTCTTGGGGGCAGGGACATCATGCCAGCCTTTAGGTCTTTTTCTCAAGGGCCGAAGTTGAACTAAAGAAAGTAGAGATGGGGGAGTGGAGGGAACATTTTTCTAATAATAGGCAGAGGTTTCTAATGTCTGGTGCTTTTTACTCCTTTCTCCCTCAGTGAGTCCCAGGAGGCAAGGTTTCTAAACCTGGGGCCCAGAAATGTCTCCAGGTGGCCTGGAGCATTGGGTGAGGAGTGCAAGTACATTTTTTCCTGGGATGCATCCTCAGTTTCCATCCCATTCTTAAAGTGTCTGATCCAAAAGGGCTAAGATTGCCTCTCTATTTCTGGTTGCATTTTCTACCCTTTCTGCATGGGGTACCAGCCTTTTTTTTTTTGCCATTTCTTCTGTCTGGGGCCTGGGAGGAACAGGGCTGTGGAGCTCAAGTGGTAGACCGGTCCTCAGGTGTCACCCCAGGTCTGCTGGTTCAGGGCCACAGGAGGTTCAGGGCAGGGGCAGGGCTGGTGGAGCCTCTGCTGGGCAGCAGCAGACAGGGCGGAGATGGGCCGTGTTCTGCCAGCTGCCCTGAATGTTCCGTGGCCACTTCGGAGGAGAGAGCTGGCTTGTCTACCAGGCAGGTCTTGGGTGATAATGCTGACGGCCCACAGACGTAATGGAGTGAGAGTCAGAAGACCCAGGTTTTGGTTCTAGCGCTGCCGTTATCTACCTGGGTCACCTAAACGCTTGCTTTTTCCTCATCTGTAAATTGAAAGAAATGGATGACTTGTTCAAACTCCCTGACTCAGAGCTTCAGTGGGTGGAGCCTGGGAAGTTGTAGTGAATACTTTCCCCAGGTGATTCTTACACAACCATCTAGGTATGTCTGAGAACCTGGAACCTGCTCAGTGATTCTCACTGGCTACCCATCAGAGTCATCGGTGGAGCCTTTCAGAAACGGCTGTGCCTGCACTCCATCCACCCAGACCAAACGAACGCTCACCTTTGGAGATGTGCCCCAAGCAGGGCGTTCCGGTGATGCTGGTGTCCAGCCGGGTCTCTGTCCTGAGCCCTGTGGGGAAAGGCCTGCAGCAGGCCCTCAGAATGGTAGAGTGCGCAGCCCAGTGACCTTTAATTCAGGTCTCGGGACCTGGGTGCTGGCAGAGTTGTCCTGTAAGACTTGGACAAGCCAGAGAGTCTTGGGTACAGTTCCCTCCTTGCTCACTCACCTAGCCCTCTTGGCCCAAGTCAAAGGGAAACAAGGCTTGTCAAATAAGAAATGGAGAGAAATACAGAGTGTTATTATTGATTTATTAGAAAAACTAGTAAATGGGTTTCCTCTGTTTGGTGGAAGCACGTGTGAGCAGGTGGAGGACGAGGCCCAGATTGCATGGTCTGTGCCCCATGGGGTTGCAGTCCTGTCGCTGCCTCCTCCACTGTGACCTCCCTGAGCTTGCTCGTCCAAGGGACCAAGCCTTGTGGTCCTTTGGCTCTCTGTCTCCTCCCACAGAAGGGAGGAGGGGCATCCAGGACCATCCTCGGGGACCCTACTCGCCCTCCGAAGGGCAGGAAGTGGTGTGGGTGGGAGCTGAGCCTTCTACAGGCCTCCTGTGATGGGTGCTGGTAGGGGGAAGGGGGAGGTAAGCCCAAGAACTGTCCACACCCCCCTCAGCCAGAGCCCATGGAGGCCAGGGGATGAAGGGGAAGGAGGACCACCTGACCACGCCCCGAAGGAGCTCCTTCTAAACTGCCAGTTGTGCTGGTGTGGACTGGAGCTGTGTCGACCTAGTCTGGGAGTACTGTTAAAAGATTGTAGAGTAGAAAATATAAGGAGGACCAAAAACAAACACCCCCCACCCCCATAAAACTGTGCCAGGGTACCAGGTACCGAGCCTGCACATGGCACAGTCTCCCACACCAGGGTGCCTGCAATGTCTGTCCCGTTGGTGGAGGGCCTTGGGGCCTGTGTGATGGAGGGATGTGCAGGAGCTGGCACTAGACGGTGGGTCACATGCAGCTGGCCGCCCTCGACAGTGGGGGGCAGCCGGGTGGTGGTGAAGTCCTAGCGCTTCCTTTGAGGCCCTTTTCATTCTTGGGACTGTGGAGTTGCTCGTTGGTGGGGCCTCGCTCAGGCGCTGCTTTGGTGCACAGGGAGGGCAGAAGGTTGGAGCCATTGTCTCCCGGCTCCCTCAAGACTGGCCCACGGCAGCAGTGGAGGGACTCTTGCCACCACCTGCTCTTCAGCAAGGAACGTGCTCCCTACTCTGGAGCAGGACGTGCCCTCAGGTGTCCTGGAGGCCTTTACTGCCACATGAGTGGTCTTCTCACTGCCTCCTGCCTTGGTTTCTCCAGGTGTAGAGAGGCTGGTGAATGGTCTAGACTACGCTCCCTGCAGGTACAAAGAGGGCTGTACGGGTAAGTGCACAGAGGCCAAGTGAAGACCCTGGCTACAGAGGTGGGGTGTCAGAATCCACAAGACAACGTCACCCTCCTGTGGTTCTCGTCTGCTGAAGTCAGCTTCACCTTGACACGGTGTTCTTGATCCCGAGGTGTGCCTGCACTAAGTGCTCCTGGGAAGGCCCAGGAACCCTGGATGCCGACCCGTGTGGTCTCTACCTGAGCCTCACCCGCGTTCTGGAGGAATTATCTCGCTGTGTCTGGGGCTCCTTCCCATGGGGAGAGTGATAGAAATAGCAGTCCCCGGGGACCTTTCTGGTCTTCCCAGAGAAACACCTACTGCCACCAATTTGACCCTCTTTTGGACCTTAACCCCAGTTAAGATGCTAGGCTGGAGCTGTATTGCTTTCAGAGGGTGGGGGGTGGAAATCCTTGTGAAACGCGTGCCCCCCTCAATCTGGCAGCCCGACTGTCACAGCCTGGGGAAGGATTATCCCGGGGGTCTAGTTTGCAGGGCCCCTTTGGCTGTGCTTGGGTGGGGATGGGGTTCGGGGGAGTAGATATTTGGTGATTTCTGCACCTGCATGCAGAACCTTCAGGAGAAGCTGAGCAAGGGCTGCTACACTTTCATGGCCCTGGCGCCAGCATTTGTCCCAGCTGTCCATGGGTTATTAGATGCGTGGTGACATCCAGGTATGGCCATAGTGCCACCCCAGGGTGATAGGTCATGCATGAACTTGGCCGTCTGTCCACTGGGCATTTGGCTTTGCTTTACTCCAGGTGCTGGGCTGTCCATCTGGTATCTGGGGACCGTACTGCCTCTAAGGGCTCCTGGGTCTGAGTCAGATATTGCTGGTTCAGCTGCTACTGGGTGTTGGGGGGACGTCCCAGAGGGGAGAGGCAGCGCCTTAGGCAGTGTCGGGACTTGTCTGCTGCTTTCAGGTCTGAGCTCTAGCCCTAAGCTCTCACTGAAGCTTTAAAAAGACTGCTGGAGAGCTTCCTGACCCTACTGCCCATGGTTGGCAGCAGGGGACGCTGGAGGCAGTGGAGGCCCCTTGCACTTAGGACCCACAGACCTTGGAGGGTGCCCCCGCTGCTGTTTTGGTGGGAGGAGGCTGGAGGGAGGGATGTGGTGGCCCCTGAGGTAAGAGACCTGGTTCTGAGGAAGCCCAGTGGGGAGGAGGCCCATAGTGTCCCCACAGTCCCCAACAGCCCTTTCCCCAGGCCTAGGGCCCTGTGGGCCTACCTGAAGGCTCTGTCCTTGTGCCCCAGGGGTGGGTCAGGTATTTCCAGCGTCTTCTTCCCTTTCCCTGGTTTTGACTAAGTCAGGGGTGACTCCAAGTAACTTGCTTTGGGAGTGGGCAGCATCTGATGAACCCGTCAGCCTTCTCCAGCTTTTATGGGGCATGGGGGCCTGGTGCATCCTCAGCCCAAGAATGGGGTGGGGAGGAGGGTATGAGCCTGGGAAAACCGTACTCTGCCCGCAGGCCTGGAGGCCCAGTGGAGCTGGGAGCCTCTGTCCCAGGAGCTGCTCTGCAGATGGTGGGGGAGCAGGCATCGGGCCAGGCAGGTGAAGGCAGGTATTGCAGTACAGCATGGTCCCCAGAGCCCCGCCTGGTGACTCGGAGCAGGCAGGCAGCGGGCAGCAGGCAACCAGGCAGCAGGAGCGCCGTGGTCAAGGCTGAGGGCGCCCGCAGCCTGTCCTGGGCAGTCGAGGGAGGCACAGTGGCACTGCCCGGCCCCACCTGTTGGGGCTCCACAAGAGGCTACTTCTTTTTGGGGAAGAAGCTGAATCTCTTTTCCTTTTCTTTCTTGCCAAGGCTGGTGTCAGGGCCAGTGATGGAGGGCAAGGGCAGGCTCTGGGCCTTGGTGCGGATACTCTGGGACTCGTTGATGGCAGTGCTCACACCCTGCAGCCAGGACAGCATCTCCTCCTGTGGGGCGGGAGAGTCAGGGCCTCACGCTTCTCTGGGGAGGAGCCCGCACAGGCTGGGAGAGGAGCCCCAGGACTGCCCGTTCTGAGGGAGGGAGCCTCGAGGTCAAGTGGCTTGAGCCTCCTCCACCTGCCCCTTTGTTAGTGGGGGTCTGGGCCGGGCTGCTCAGCACTTACCTCATCCTTGCCGTGGAAGAGCCACTCACTGCCATTGCTCAACCTGGGAGGACAGAAGGGTTCCTGTCCTGGGGCCACCTCTGGAGCCCTCTGCCTGGGCAGAGGGCTGGCTCAGTCCCACAGCCCCCTCAGACATAGAGCACCGTGGGAGAGAGGTAAGAACTTGGACCATTAGCCTTTTTGATCTGAACAACCCCTGAGGGCCAGTTCAGGCATGTCATGGACCCCCATCCAGCCACTGATGCAAAACCGAATCGCCGGGGAAGGAGCAGTGGATGGGCGGGCCTCACCTCAGCTTGAAGACATGCTTCTTCTTCTTGTAGCTGGCAGCAACCTCACAGATGGCATGTCTCAGGGCCAGGGGCTCTTCCCCGTGGTAGGGCACCCCCAGCGCCAGGTTCTTGGCATCCTTGTAGAAGGTCAGCTCGCTATTTCTGAGCACACAGTACAGGTTGTTCCAGGACCTGCAACGGGGCAGACAGGCAGGTCACCCGCAGTCCTGACACGGCTCTCTGTACTCAGCTCCTCCAGCTGTGCCTCTCCTGTTACACCGTCCCGCCCTGGTAAGTAGTGGTACATCTTACTGTAGAAAAATCATCTCCATGTAATTTCATTACAAAAAGTGAACTCTGGTTAACATTGAATATATTTCCTTCTAGTCTTTTTCTGTTCGCATATTCACGTTTTTTCCTACTTACATACGGGGGTGGATCAGAGTAGGTTTTACTACAGTTGTGAGTACCCAAAACACAGTTTATTCTTATATTATTATTTGTTCATTGTATTTATTTATATTACAACTGTAAACCTATGTTTGTCCACCTCTGTATATTAGCTGAAATTGGATTATACTGTATAACCAGTTTTATGTCCTGCTTTCAAGCTTAACACTAACATGACTGTTTCCTCATATCCTCAAATATTTCTTGAAGTAATTTTGAATAACTGTGTGGTATCTCATCACAGATATAAATAATCCCTTTATTGGCGGGCCCTGTGACACTGGAAATTTAAACAGTACAAGTTAATGCGGTGAACATTCTTGTGCATGTTGAGATGCAGTTTTAGAAGCAGAATTATTGACTCTAAGACCAACCGTGTAAACTTTTCAGAGCATTCCCACATCCGTCAACATGTTTGATTTTCACTACAGAACTGTGGAATGAATAAAGCAGGGGTTGGTTTGGTGGTTGCTGGTAGTTTTCCTTCTGTCGGTGCATGCCGGTGCACTGTACTAGCGCTTTTAAAAGAAGCTCCTTGGTGTGTGCCAAGGCTCGTCTCAGCTGGCGTGTGTGGTGACAGCTGAAGCTTATACACTCGTGTGTGGGCTAAGCGGGGCTGCTTCACTGATAAACGTGAAGCGTGTTGCATTTTCACAGAAATGAATGGTGCGAAACATTGAAGCTTTTGTTCCTTCTCCCTCTCCCCTCCCCCCTCCCCCTCCTCCTCCTCTCCTTCCTTCTCCCTCCCTCCCTTTGAAGGGCAGGAATGTGGAGAACTATAGGGCACAGTGGGCGGGAGGACTGGAAGGTCAGAGAGAGAACCTGACCTGTACGGAGCTGGCAGCAGAGCGACTTCGCAAAGCCCAGATTTCTGACGCTCAGCTGGGGGATCGTCCTTGGAGCCCGAGTAAGGCAGTTGCTAGAAGGAACTGGGCCTTGGAATAAAATCCTGCCTTGGACAAATCAGTGACTTAACCTATCTGAGACTCTTTTCCTATGTGGAAAATGGAAACCTCAATATTGCAAGGTGGTTAGGAAGATTTTATCAGTCCTATCATAATGCCTGGCACACAGTAGGTGCTCAATAAATAGTAGTTTCCTCTTTCCTGGTGGACTCTCCACATAAGCAATAAACCTCTTCGGGACAGTGGGGTCCCCAAATTCATTTCTGGAATTTGCATTAGCTTAGGCATCCCCCGGGACAGGCTCCGTGTGCCGCCAGTGGCCTTGGGAATGTGGCTGGCTTCAACCTTGATGCTGCCCCATTTTCCTGGGACCCCACTGCCTGAAGGCGGGGCTCCCAGAGGCATCCTCAGACCAAACCTAAGGGCATGACTGCCTCAGGGACAGGAAAGGACACAGCCTGTGAACGAATGCCTCAAGGTCACGGAGTGGCTGTGTGATGGTCTGGCGAGCACCCTCCAGCTGCACGTACACCAACCCCGCTGTCCGCTCTTCCTCCTCTCCTGTGTTATAGGTAAGGAACTGAAGCCCAGACTGGTAAAAAGCGGGACTCCGGCAAGGTCCTATTGTTAGTGCCTAGATGGACCCACCCAGCCCTAGGATAAGAACAAACAGTAGTGTTCTCCAAGCTCTTCCCGTGCACAGGCACACTTTCTGCACTGAAGACATGCTGCCATCAACACCCCTGTTTTACAAATACAGACGTTAACTTAGGCTGAGTAACCTGTGCAAGGTCATAGGATTTGAACTTGGGGCCAGAACTGAAGACAGGCTTTCCCTGACACGCCAGCCAGCCCCTGGGCTGGGCGGAGGAGTAACCAGAAGCTCTCAATGCCCTAACCCGGGAAGCAAAGGGCGCCCTCTCAGGGACTTCACCAGCAGAGCCTCTGCTGGTGACGTCCCTGAGAGCCACCCACCCCTCCCACCACAGCCTCTTCCCACACACCTGTTGGATGCCTTCTTGTTGGGCCCCTCCAGGTCGTGCTTGCGGCCCAGGTAGCCCTCCATCTGCACGCTGTGCCCGCGGTCCCGCTGGGCGGGCAGCGTTGTAGGCTCCTCGCCCTCGCTCAGAGGCGTGTCCAGGACTTTAAAGAGGGGCTCTGTAGCGGGCCCCTCATCCCTGCCAGATTTCTCCTCTTGCCCTTCCACCTGTTGCCCCGGTGGGGGTGGTGGCTGCAGGTCTTGCGGCCGCTGTCTGTCTTCCCCCTGCTCAAGGGGCATATGGAGGAGTACACCTCGCTGGGGTTCTGCTGCCGGGGTGGCTGCTCCGCAGAACCGGGGAGCCAGCAGGCCCTCTCCTGAGCCTGGGTCCTTTCTGCCACGCATCCCCGCCCCCTCCCCTCCCCCCCCCCCCCCCCCAACTCCCGCCTGACCCCTCCCCCTGCTGTGGGTACCCAGCTGGCCTGCTTCCCTAGACTCCGCCCACGTCTCCGGCTCCTTTCCTACCCCCAATCTAACATCAACAGAAGTTCTTGGAGTGAGCTGAAGGTGGCCTGAGTGATGGTCTCGTCCAGGGGGTTCCAACACAGCCGGCAGAGCCCAGGCTCACCGCCCCGCGCCAGGGCCCCACCCCTGCTGCGGTCACACACTCTAACTCCGGCTGAGTTCTGCGTGGGCTCTGGCAAGACTTCCTATGAAGAAGGGGCCACTGTTAAGGCAGGTTTGAAAAACACGTGTATGAGATGGGGAGTGGGAACTCTTACCTTGCATTTGTATCTAACCCCTCAAAGTTAGGGCAGCCATTCCTTGGTGTCCCCCACTACCTTAAAAAGGAAGAACCCGGAGCAACTGGTCCTGCGCCCGTCATTTGACAGGAGTTTCTTGCAGCGGGACAGCGATTCCCGAGCCCGGCTGCCTGGTACCCTCACTTCAGGAGCTTTAATGAAATAGTCCCAGACCCCTCGCTCAAGATGCTGCTTTCACCGGCCTGGAGTGGGGTCTGCACATTGGCACTTCTTCATAAGCTGTTCGTGCATTCCGATGTGCAGTGGGGGTTGACAGTCACCCGTAAGGGACCCCTGCCCTGGGGAAGGGCTGTGGCTTTGCCCTCCTGCACCTCCTTGTGGAGGGTGGGGTGCTGCCTGCCACTGTCCACACTGAGCGTGGGGCCTCCACGTATCAGGCGCCCACGTCCCATTCCCCAGCTGGGCCCCAGAGTCCTTGTCAATCTGCTCCTGTGCCTGCTGCCAGAGAAGCGAGGGCAGGACAGATGGGGCAGCAGGGGGCAGCCTGCCTCCCACTGCCAGGTAGGGCAAGAATGGGTAGGTCTCCTGTGTGCCCGATGAGCACCCGGGAAGGCAGCCTAGCTTAAGCCGTCTGGTCAGAACCCTGTCTCAAAGGCCTGACCGCTGTGACGTCACCGCACTAGGTGGGAAAGAGCCTTGAAGGCCCCTGCACAGGCCGCATCTGTGCACCTGACTCTAACCACTGCAGATGGATGGAGGCCCAGAGAGCGTTGGGAAGGAGCTGGAAAAGAACAGACATACCCTGTGCTCCCCAATGTGGGTCCCACAAACATGGGCCAGAGAGATGGAACATGAGAGGGTGTGGGCACCATGTTGGACATCAGATTGAAGCTTTAACTCGCGCAGGCTAAAAGCGACCAAGGTCTGCCTGAGATGGTACTTAGGAATGGGAAGGGAGGCTCAGCAGAGATGTTTGAAGGCGGTGCTTGGAAGAAAGGAAAAACTAATCATGTTTGTGTTCCATAAAATTAGGGCTGTTCAATAAACAGTTATAAGTTGGGGTTCCAGTGAGATCTTATTTAAAGAAAGGATAACTGGAAAAGTTTGAAAATCACACTACCCTAGCCTACTATCTTCAATCTATGAGAAAACCTTTGCTCAGAGAGGTTAAGTGACTTATCCAAGACCACATGGCTCATAAACATTGGAGACAATTAGAAGCATGCACTCCAGAATTGGATGAGCCTGAGTTGTTATCACATCTTTAGAGCGCTCATCCTTTTCTGTCATAGAACCCCTTGACATCTGTGGCCAGACCACACTGGTCTTTCTGCATCTTGTACTATTTATATCTTCGAGAGTGCAATGAGCCAGCACTGGCCGCAAGGATCTGGGGGGCCCAAAGCCCTGCCTGCACGATCCTCTAGCAGGGATCAAGGGCAGGAGTAGCAGGAATAGGGCTGGTAGCCTGGTTTTGGGGTCCCGTGGACCCATTAGGCCAAGCCTTTGACCTGGCTGTAGTTTGGGGAGGTGGTCTAGTTTTGCAAAAAGTGAAGCCTCTTTTTCTCCCTAATCTCTCCACCTGGCTGCACTGCTTCTGGTCGTGGTGGGCTGGAGCCCTCCTGTCCGAGCCTGGGGGTCTCAGGGAGATGGCCCAGCAGACCCTCAGCCTGATTCGCCCCTCTTATCCAGCCTGTCACCTCCTGGGACTGGTCTTACTAGAGGCCTGTGGGTCCACATTTTCTTCCTGTACTTTCACTTCCATTCTCCTTCCTTTTGGGAACTGTCCTCTGAAAATAAAGACAAATTTTTCCAGGACTCCTTCCCAACTAAATTTCAGCTTTCTTCTGCTTCCTCCTAATGGGTGCCTGACCCACATTCCCTGGCAGGGACATTTTGCAAAAGTTAAATGGCTGGGTCATGGGTTGGCTTTGGAAAATAGCTTTTCCAATGTTTGCAAAGGTTTCTTATGTGCTCTTGACTGTTCACATGGAGACAACATAAAACGCACCCTGTCCTCTCTATCCTGAAGACCAAGGCCTGAGGAGGAGGGGGAGGAGTTTGGTGGCTGCTTCTCCCTCCCCAGGCCCAGGACTGGCAGAGCTTCTCTTCCCCCTGGGCCGGGGGAGGGGACATCAAAGAGAAAGATGATGTTGTGGTTCGGGCAGAAGGGGCCTCCTGCCCCAGGTACCAGGGGTAAATATGCTTTGTGCCATTTTATGAGAGCAGGGAAAGTGTGGGAAGGCAGCGGCAGTTCTGCTGCTGCTGGAACTGTGCTCTCCTATGGAGATGGTGCCTTGCCCAACAGGGCGGGGTCCGTGGAGCAGGCTACTCCTGTGGCTGTAGGGACAGGCAGGTTCTGCCAAAAGGCCCTGGGTGGATGAGATGATCTGATTCCCTTCTCTCCTCCATTCTCTAAGGCAGAAGGCCTGCTGCTTTAGCCCTCCGATGGTTAGGACGCACAGCTCACACCTGCACTGCTGAGGGGTACCCAGCCTAGAGGGGTCACCCAGAGGAGCTGGGGACACTGAAGCGGGAAGGGCCAGCTGCCTTGGGATTCTCAGTTAGGCTGGTATGGTATGCAAGTCTTCAGCTGTAAGCGAGAAGGGCAGCATGAGAGAATGAGCGTCGGGGGCTGGAATAAGGGGAAGGGCTGCCTGCAGCGTGGAGCCAGGCTCTCCAGTTTGGGTTTAGATGGGCAGGGGTTGGGGAGATGACTGAGAGGTGGGCACGTGCTCTGGCTGCTGGGATCATGATGTCAGGGGAGGGAAGGGCACAGGCAGGAGAGCCTTTCATAGGATCACAAACAGGGAGAGGCCCCAACACCTGAGGGGTGGGCAGTAGGGGGAGTGGCCACCTCAGAGTCTTCTAAGCTTGACTTTTTAGGGTCCTGCCTCGCTAGGAAGCTGGCTTGTGTAGGGATGCAGGCAAAGGTTGCGGGTCTCGTCCGCAAAGGAGGTTCAAGAAGAGGAGCGGAAGCCGGGCAGGATGGGTGCATTTCTTTTCTGGACTAATGGAGTTCAAGGTGTACTTCCAGGCTCAGCCAGCAGGTGGCGGAGGGCACAGCACACAGACAGCTAGCGCTCTAGCTCCCAGGAGGAAAAAAAAAACCTATTTGCAAACACAAGATCTTTTAGAGGTTCTTTCAGGGGTGTCCAATTTTTTGGCATCTCTGGGACACACTGGAAGAGGAAGAGTTGTCTTGGGCCACACATTAAATACGTTGCAACACAAAATCACAAAAAAATCTCATAAAGTAAATTTAGGATTTTGTGTTGGGCTGTGTTCATAGCTATCCTGGGACTCATGTGGCCTGAGGGAGGCAGGATGGACATCCCTATAAGATGCTCAATGACCCCAGATACACTGACAAGCAAAGAAACAAAAGCGATGAGGCTTCTCTCTAATGAGATGCTGATAAGTGAGAACCAGGGCATAAGGACGCACCCCGGAAAGAGAATGTTTGACCTGAGCCACGCGATGGTTTTGCCTATGTCGCAGCAAGGACCGGGCCCAGAGTGTGTGGAGCAGGGCTCGAGGGAGGGGCACTACAGGAAAGTCTGGGGGGCTTGGGCCATGGATGCTAGAATTCATATGGAGGACATTTCTTTTGAGAGATGAAAGTCGACAGTGAGGGATGGAGAAAAAACTGAAGGGAAAAAGGCGGACTTAACAAATACCTACTAGTTGCCAGATATTCTACTTATTTTCTCTCTTCAATCCTCACACTCCCCCTGCGAGGCACGTACGATCACTACACCAGTTTTACAGACGAGGGAACCTGGGGTTCAGGGCGAATGGGTAACTTGCCCACAGCCACACCTCTAGTGAGGGGAAGGCTGAGGATCTGTTTGGTCTCCAACTCTCTGCTCTTCCTGTGCAAGGGCAGGAGCAGCACTGTTCTAGAGGAAAGTACCCATCCGATGGGCTTCACAGTCTGAACGAGACAAGCTCAGCTTACCCAAGACATGTGGCCGGTCCTCCCGAGGCAGCTGTGGGGTCACATCAGAGCCACACCAGAAGGGGCCAGAAGAGGGGCTTGGAGCCAGTCAAGGCCTATTGCTGATGCTTTAGGTGAGCAAATAGCACTGGGGAACTAGGGGGTGGGAGGAACTGGCCATGTTCACAGCTGAGAGTTTTCCCCTCCCCCAGCCCTGGAGGTCTGGGCTCTCCTCCCTGGGTGAGGAGGGGTGAGGGGGCCACTGGCAGACAGGTTGGGAAGGCTGTTTAGAAGACAATTTTTTGCAAGAAAAGAAAAAGAGTTGGTTTGTTGAGTTGAGAGCAGCCAAACAGATAAAGAGATAGCAACTTAGGATGAGCAGAGACAAATGTGGGAAGAGAAAGAAGTTGTTGCTGAATAAGGAAAGACTGCGTGAGGAGCGGAGGCGGGACCAGGCGGTGAAGGGTCGCCCGTGGGAGGTGGGATGGTGAGGGCTCTCATGAGGAGTGGGACGGGGGGAGCCGAGCAAATCCACTGTGCTCCAGGGGCAGCTGTCTGAGATGGCAGCTGGGGCAGCAGGGAAGGCGGCGGGAGCAAACACAGAGTGGATGGCCACCAGGTAAAGTGAGGGGGAATGAAGAGGGGAGTGTTCAGGGTCCCCGCAGACAGGGAGGGCGAGACCTGGTCCACTGGCAGTGTCACGGGTGAGAGGAGAAGAGGCTTTGTCGGGAGCCGTCTCCCTCATTCCCACCACTGGGGTGGGCTCTTTGGGCCCTGGCCCTGGAGGAGCGGGGTAGGGGGTGGGGGGCTTGCTGGATCAGCATTAGAAAGACTAGAAAGGGTTAGAAGGCACTGACTCCCCCAACCAGATCCACCACCCACTGACAAGTGGGCAGCCTGAGGTGCTACCGGAGGCCCTCCTGAGCCCATCGATATCTGGGATGCTCTGAGACACAGTTGGGAAGAACAACTTAGGAGAGGCCTTTGGAGCAGCGAGGCCAGAAAAGATCACGTCTGACCACGGCACCGAGAGCTGGGCACACCCAGCAATGAACAGCTGTCCAAAAAGAGCCTGGAGCAAGTTTCTCTGGGGAGCCTGGACTGCTGGGGCTCCGGGCCAGACTGCAGGCAGACACACCCCTGCCACGCTGACTCAGGCATCCTGGGGAGACAAGAACACACCCAGGTTTGGGGGAAAACTGAAGTTCTTTCCAGGCGGGGTCTGCTCATTATAAGCAAACACCCAACTGGCCTTCACTGCAAAATGCCAGAAAGAGCAGCTCCGTTTGGCCTCACAGGGGGAGCGGAGAAGGGATGGGGAGAGCTTGCTCAGGCAAGAAGAAACACAGCTGCTGCCTCCACACCCACATCCCTTCCATCTGAGGACGTCAGAGCCTGGTCTCTGGCTGCTGATTAAAGCTTCAGGCTGCCTGCCGGGGGCGGGTGGAGATGGGGGGGCCGTGCAGGTTGCCAAGGGGGTGACAGCAGCTGGAGCCAGCCAGGCACTGGGTGAAAGGAGTCTGGTCTCACAGAAGAGTGGGAGGGGCTGCAGTCCAGTGCCTGGTCAGCCCCTGGGGCACTGTCCCTCACTTTCTCCAGCACTGGTTACTCCTCTGAAGCAACAGTGGCCTCGAAGACTATGGTGGGGAGAAGCAAGGGACCTAGAAGTCTTAACTCCCTGTGTTCACCCCTAATGAGGAAGCTAGCTGCAGGCTGTCTAGAAAGGTCACGGTCAGAGTGCTTGGGAAAAGGAGTTTTCCGAGACAGCTGGAGGCTGGAGACAGCACCCAGGCGGTCGCGTTCGGGAGTTAGCCTGGTGCCCGACAGTCCTCCTGAACCACAGACTGGATCTAACCTTGAGGCTGGAAGGCAGCCAGGGTGTGATTGCCCCAAAGAATGAACCCTGAAGACAGGCTGTTTCTTGTCACGCCTCTAGAAGCAAGCATCCCTTTTGGGGCCGGGGCTGTGGCTGTCAGAGGAGCCCTGCTGGGCCAGTTCCCTGGGCAGGCCTTGCTCTTTGTCACAAGCCAGGGACAGGCCCGGGGCACAGAAGATGCCCCAGGGCTGTTAAATGGGGGTGGGGGGGTGGGGCTGACTCCTGCGGTGGCTCAGATCCTCTCCATTCTACTTTTGCTCTGTGAAACCAACCTAACATCTCAACAGTCAGCAATTCGCCGCCACGGTCACACAGGATTCTGAGGCAACCAGAGCCTGGAAGATGAGAACCTTAGCAGGACCACTCAGCCCTTCCCAGAGCCACACCCGGGATGAAGGGGTGACACGGAGGGTGATGGGCGATATCCATGCTGCCTTCAGAGCACTGACCCTGTCAGGAGCTGAGGTCCAACCCTGCCTCTCCTCCCTGAACAGGGACACGGGCAAACACCCGGCCCTCTGCCCTGCCCTTCCCAGCTCCTGCCTCACACCCGCTGGCACCTGAGAAACACAACCAGGTCCCCTAGAGCTACAGAGAAGACAAGAGGAAACTGGAGAAAACCACCTGCCCCTGCCTTTTTTCAGGCACACTGATGACCTTCCGGAATGTTCTTGACTTTCTGTAATCCTGCAGAGGCTTTATAAGGGCGAAGAGACCCAGGAAGGTTCCTGAAGAACTCAGGACTACAACCCAAGGTCCTGACCTCCACCCCAGGAGCCTCGCTGTCACAATAGCTTGTTTCTTGTGCTTGGCCTCACACACACCCACGTATACACTTACCTGCATGGATCCAGTGGTTTTTACCAGACCACAACTCTAATGTGGAAAAGTGAGAGGTGAGGGAGGCGAAGCATTACAATGATGTGCTTGAAGAACATGGCGTGGCAGGGAATGGCACTCGGGCCCCTGCGTGTACACGTGTGTGTGCTTCCATGCACCGGGCAGGGGAGGACTGGGATGGGGCCTGCAGGGCGGCCGCCCGTGGTGTGCAGCGGTCTAGACAGCGGTTCAGGTGCCCGGTCCACTCCCGTCTGCTCCCCGAAGCAGGAAGCCGGCATGCACTAGTGATGGGTTTCACATGAAGCAACACCGCGTGGGTCTATTCTATAGGGCACCGACACCAGACCACACACAGCGGGACAGCAGACAGCCACCGTAACCCAGGCCTACCGAGAAGGCTCAGCAGACAGCCGGCCCTTCCTGGGAGAGGCCTGCAGTTTGCGAAGGTTTCCCAGCCTGCGTGAGACCCATTCTTTTTTCTTCTCATATCAAAAGACCAATTGGGTATCACACCCTCCCTCTGAGTTTCGCAGATCCTCATGAAAACTCAACACAGGGCTGAGATGGGAGAAGCAGCAGGAAATGTTTCCATGAGGCCTCGGGCCTGGTGTTCATTGATTCGCCATCTGGTTTCTTCCCGGGACTGGACACAGGCCAGCTCTCCCGGCTGGCTGGCTCTCTGAGCAGCGTCTCAAATGCGGGCTCACTCCACCCTTCCAGAGATACTCGGGTCCAAGCAGGTTTTATTCCCCCCAAACCCATTGACATTCAGATGTTGGATGGAGGCAGCTCTGATTCACATGTAATCAAACTTGCAGAGACGTACAGGACACAAACAATGGATGGAGTCATTCAGCGGGTCACAAAGGAGCCTGCAGACCTGGGACACCGCCGCACACAGACACACAGGGATGCACAACCGAAGCGCAGGTAGTACAGGAAGCAGGGACAGTCCCAGCCCCCGTGTCCACAGTCTGTGCCAGCCCCCCAGTTCTCGCTCCTTCCAGTGGGGGCTGTCACTGGGAGAGAGGGGCTGGGACGGAGTCCACTCTAGACCCCCACAAGCGATGACGGAAGCTTCAGAGGGAACTTCTGGGAGACCCTCCAGTGGGAGCCCAGGAATGCCCTCTGCTGGACATGAAGGGCTGGTGCAGCTCAGAGAGGGAGGCGGCTGGCCAGGCTGGAGGCCGCAGAGGGTGAGTGTGTGAGCGTGTTTCACAGAAGTGTGGGAAGGGTTGAAGTCTGGACCTGACAGGGATTCTGCACAGGAAATTCTCAGTATATGTGTATTTTTTTCTGGGGTGGTTGGTGTACCAGAAATTTCTACCTAGAATACCAATGTCCCTAACCCCCAAGAGTTCCAGCAAGCTCATCTGGGCACCTGTCGAAGTGGGGTACATGCAGTTGTGAAGCCATGCCAGACACATGCTGAATTTGTGCTTTCTTCTCAGCCAGCTGTTCCTCAGGGCACTTCCCCCAAACCTGGGTTACAGCCTACCAGGCCTCCTGCACGGACCTCCTGGGTCCTTTTAGCTCAGAGACCTCTTCCAGGTGGGGTTCCTGGGGCCATATTCCCTGGTGTGACTGGCAGCTGGTGTGTCAGAGCTCCTCCCATTTCCTCCCCTCAGCCACACATTCTCCTTTTCTACAAGCTGGGAACTGGCTCTGTGACCTCAAAGCCCTGGGGGTCTCCCGCACTACCGAGGGACTCCTTCAAGTCTGTTCTTGCCCCAGGACCAGCTCCATATTCAGACTTGCTGACCAGCAGGCCTCAGGCAGGGAAGGTGCAAGGGGGGTGGGCTCTGCCTAGGAGGGCGGAATGTGCTGGGTGGGGGGCAGTCCTGAAATGCCAGGGCAGGCAGGGCTGGGCAGTCTGTTTGTGGCTGTGTGTGTGTGGGCACTATATTAATGAGAGAGCAAGAGGGAAAATGGGAAAATGGGAAAAAGGGCGGTGTACAAAAACTGATCATCTCTGTATAAACTGTTTCCCCTGATTAGATGGTAACATATTTATAGAAGGAAATTTATTAGACTAGATAAAACCAAACTAAGAGTCGTGCCAGTGGGCTGGCATGTCAGTTTCTTCTGGGTTGGAGGGAAAACCTAAGTGGAAAATGCAGTCTGATCTGAAGGAGGAATCTGGGGGGGGGGCGTGTGCCTGTCCTCGACTTCCGCCCTGGCCCCCTGGCCGAGCCTAGTAGGGATGAGCGGGTTCTGGCAGCAATGAATCCAAGGAACTAGACAAGTGGGACAGGAAACTGACCGGGGATGTTCTCACGGTGGCCGCTGGGTCGGGAACTCGGGGACCCTCCCCCGCTGTCTCTCCTTCCTCCTCTTGAGGCCTGTGAAGACACAGCCCCTCCTTAGAAACAAGCACCTCTCTGAGGCCAGCATCTACCCCCAATCCTGGCTCTCCTGCCCTCCTCAGGGAGCTCATGCCACGTGTCTCCCTGTCCAGGCTTCTGGGCGGCCTGGCAGGTGCCTGGTAAGGAGCTGCTTAATCTGCCTTAACTGTCTGGTTCAGGCAGGTACTTCAGGAATGGACGCTCTGGGGCATGTGTTCAGCTGGCTCCCAGAGCAGGGGAGGCGACCCTGCAGCAGCCCCTGCTCTCTACTGGGCCTGTCTGTAGCAGGTCTTGAGGCCACCTGTGATTTGGGGTTAATGAAAGCTCCTCTGTGCCTGCAAGATGCAGGCACTCCAGATTTCTCTAACCAGTGGCCCAGGTGTGAAAGGTCACAGGTGTATTATTAAAGCATCAGAGGGCTGTTTCTGCTGAAAAATACCCTCTTCCCCCACCCCCCGCCCTTGGCAGTGCTCCAGTGAAGCCCACCACTCAGCCCACGCCCCCCCCCCATCTTACCCAGTTTCCTCCACGGGTCTCTCCAGGATCTGACGTTCTTTTAGCTCAAGCTAGAGGACGAAAAGGCCAGGGGTGTCAGTCACCACCAAAGAGGGGAGACCACTCTCAGACACATTTCTCTAAAAGTGGCTCTCCCTACCCAACACGCCCTGGTGTGTGTTCCTTTTGGGATTGATCCCCTTTTGTCTTTGGGTTCAAAAGTCAGTACTTTCTGCCACTCGTACTTCCTTCCATTCTCCCACCTTGCAGAGCCTTTTACACTGTTCAGGGGTGTGTATTAACTGGCTAAGAGTTCTTAACTTGAGATACCCTCCGGGCGTGGTTGTCACCACCCCAGCCTGCTGCTCACCGTGGTGGGCTTCTCCAGGGCAGCAAAGCGCTCTGCCCAACTGGCTGTGGATTTCTCAAAAGCCTCATGCCTCCTGATGAGCTTCTCCACACTGTCCACTGTGTGTCCGAAGTCCCGGCTGGCCAGGTAGGGCTCCTGGGCGATCAGCCACGCTTCAGCCACAGAGGCGTCCCGAGAGAACTGGCACACTTCCAGCACTGCCAGGGAGAACAAGACGCAGGCCCGCCCAGAGGGCCCAGGGGGCTGTCAGCACCCAAAGGTCAGCTCCTGCGGGGCCTCGGGGCCACTCTGCAGACCAGAGGCCCACACCTGTGTCCTCGTTACTGTGCGGACACCCTGCTCAGTGACTGCCTTCTGCCTGAGATGGCCTCTTCCTGCACTGGGCTCCCACCTCCTCTCTATCGACAGTGGTATTTAAAAAACCCACCAATTAGAACCAACTCCAAAACAAGATGTGGTTTAGACACCTCCCTTTGAGGAGCTGTCATCTGCCCTGAACACCCTCTTTTCAGCCCTTGGCTGTCTCACAAAATTGTGCACCAGTAGCCATAGGACCAATCCAGGTCTTTTTGGCTCTGGCGGGATTTCTCCACCTCTCCTAGTCTCCAGTTAGTTGTGCAGGACAGAGCTCCCTCTGTACCTGATGCGCTTCAGATCAAACACCCCGGATGCACTAGAGCCCTATCCTGACCCCGCTCCAAGCCACCGTCTATAGGAATCTCAGCCTGGCACGAAGTGGGGGGGCTGGGGGCGGGCTGGCTGGTTCCAGCAGCTCGGGTCTCCTGAGGGGATCCCTGAGTCCCTTGGCGATAGAGCTTTCTCGATGAGTGTGCTGTGGGGGCTCTTCTCCCAGCAGTGGCGATGTCACTCCCCGCCCCCCCCCTCCTGGTTCCCTGGCTCCCGGGCTGCACTCACGCATGCTGAGCCGCTCCCAGCGGGCCTCCCACTTCTCGTTCATCTCCTTCCTCCTGGACACCACCTGCTGCAGCTTCTCCCTGATCTGCGGGGAGGGAGGGAGGACAGCCCGGGCTTGGGTAATCCTGCCTGAGTGTGAGGCAGTGCACAGACAGATCCCGCAAAGAATGCTGGGTGGGCTTGGTCACAAAGACCTGGCTTCAAGTTTGGGCCCTGCCTAATCTGCCTTAACTGTCTGGTTCAGGCAGGTACTTCAGGAATGGACGCTCTGGGGCATGTGTTCAGCTGGCTCCCAGAGCAGGGGAGGCGACCCTGCAGCAGCCCCTGCTCTCCACTGGCCCTGTCTGTAGCAGGTCTTGAGGCCACCTGTGATTTGGGGTTAACGAAAGCTCCTCTGTGCCTGCAAGATGCAGGCACTCCAGATTTCTCTAACCAGTGGCCCAGGTGTGAGAGGTCACCGGTGTGCAGCCTTGGGCATGTTACTTAACTTCTCTGAAGCACACATGCCTCCCCTAGAAAGTGGGTGCTGTGCACACATGGGGCATCGGGTGGGTTATTAGCCTGCTCTCCCTGCAAGCAGCCAGCCCCTTGAATGGCTGTGGCTGGGGCTCTCATCACCAGTACTCCCTGGGGGAGAGAAAGGTGTGCCTCCTCCGAAGATCCCTCCCAGGAAGCTGTCTGGTCCAGCAGCAGTGGGGGCAAGGACGGGGGGAGGCCATCTCTGGCCCACCGTCCCTCTCACCTCCTCGGAGGCCTGGTGCTGCCGCTGTAGCAGGGACTCGCCAAGCTCCAGGCAGGCGTTGAAGTTCTTGCTTCTGGTTTCGATCTCTGCCTTGATGCCCTGGTGATACTTCATGAGCAGTTCCACTGAGGAGACGTCCCTGGGGTGGGGGTGGCAGGCAGGAGGACAGCAGCAGTTGAGAGAGTTTTGGGGTGAAGCAAACGCTGGTGACTCTGGTCAGCGTAAGGCCAAGTCCCGATCAGAGGGGCCCCTGCCTCTGCCTGAGGGTCTGAGGCCACTCCCTTCTCTGCCAGCCTGGCCCCGCGGGAACACCGATGCCCTGGTGTCTGCCACTGCCCATGGCCAGGGCGTGGGTGGGGTGCAGGGACCCCAAAAGAAGCCTGGGAATGTTATTCAGCAATAAAAAGGAATGAAGTACTGATACATGTTACAATACAAAGGAATCTCGGAAAGAGTGTGCTGAGTAAAAGAAGTCAGTCAGGAAAGACCACACATTGTATCATTCTACTCATGGAAAAAGTCTAGAGAGCCCTGGCTAGTGTAGCTCAGTGGACTGAGCATGGGCCTGCAAAACAAAGGGTTGCTAGTTCAATTCCCAGTCAGGGCACATGCCTGGGTTGTGGGCCAGGTCCCCAGCTGGGGGCACATGAGAGCAACCACACATTGATGTTTCTCTCCCTCTCTTTCTCCTTCCCTTCCCCTCTATCTAAAAATACATAAATAAAATTTAAAAAAAAAGTCCAGAGAGACTAGTGGTTGGTTGCCAGGGGCCAAGGAGGGGTGAGGACTGCTGAAGGGTACAGGGTTTCTCATTGGGGTAATGACAACCTTCAAAAAAAAAAGTCCAGAGAGACAGAAAACAGACTAGTGGTTGCCAGGGGGCAAGGAGGGGTGAGGACTGCTGAGGGGTACAGGGTTTCTCATTGGGGTAATGACAACCTTCTAAACTGGTACTGTGATGGTTGTACAACTGTGACTATATGAAAACCCATGGAACATTGAATTGCATGGTATGTGAGCTGTATGCCCATAAAGAAGTTAAATATACAAGCTTGACCTCCAGGACCAGCCCATAAAGAAGTTAAATATATAAGCTTGACCTCCAAGACCTGCACCAGAGAGGCAGAGGGGGGGCAAGGGGCACAGACAACTGCTAGCCCAATACCAAGTGCAAGGGGAGCCCTGGTCCCCAAAAGGCTCCCAGGGCCCTGGACTCTGCTGCCGCCTCCCACAAGCAATGAGCTCCTCCCTGAGTCTTGGGGAACAGACCCGTAACCCAGCGCTGGGTGAAGAATAAAAAGTGAACCCCGTATTTCACAGCCACCACTGTAGAAGCTCAAGAACAGGTGTCTCTCTCAGCATGCTCAGGATTCCCTTTACTCAGAAATGGTCAGTCCTCACAGCGGAAGTTGAGCTACTCAGTTTCTGCCCAGACCCAGCTCTGAGGGTCACCCTGGGACTCCTGGGCACCCACAGTGGAAGACCACCCCTCAGGGGAGAAGCCTCGGTGCAGTGCCCTGGACTGCCAGCATCTGGGACAAGGTGGCCAAGGCGTGGGGCTGCCCCGAGGACGCCCCCCTCACCTGGGCCTCTCCTGGGTCTCGATCTGCCGGACGATGCTCTCCATCCAGGAGAGGAGGTCACGAGCCATGCTGAAGAAGCGGAATTTGTCTGCCGTGTCCACGAGCTGCGTGCGGCGCCCGGCACAGGCGTCGAGCAGCGCCTGCCACGCGGCAGACACCTCCTGCTCCTTGTTCTGGATGGCGTCTGCCTTCTCCCCTGCGTAGGCCGTCTGCAGGCGGGTGGCCACGTCCTGGAACTGCTGTACCTGTGAGCAGGCGAAACCGGACATTGTTCCCCAGAAAGATGCGTGTTGGGCCCAGGATGGGTGAGGGCACCTCCTCCCGGCCTCCCTTCTCAGGGCACTGCTGGAAGGCGCCACCCCCTGGGTGCTGCAGAAGGCTCTTGCTTTGGCACCCCTGATGATCCAAGGCACCCCCACCCCTTGGGCTTCGGTCCTCATCAAAGGGGAATGAGAGGGACTGTTCTAAACACTTTAATTTATTACTCTCTTCATTTTGACTGCCACCCCTTGAAAGAGACACTATTACTATTTCTGTTTTGGAGACGGGGAAGCAGGGGCATAAGGGGGATGAGTGACGGGCCTGGAGTTACCCAGTAGAGCGGGACAGCTGGGATGGGAGGTTGCTTCCAAGTCCCCATTTATAACCACTCCACACGTGGCCTCTCTGAGGCAGGAGCTGCAGCAGACCCCTGTTTGAGGCCAGCCCAAGGGCAGTGCAGCCTCAGCCCTAAGAACTCAGTGCGGCTGTGCCTGCCTCTGACTCTGGTACCTCCAGGGCACAAGAGCTGCACTCCAGGCCCCACCTCCAGCTGGAGGACAAATCCCTAGGACACCTGCCCCACCCCCCACTGAACCCCTGGGGGCCCTGAACCCCATTGGGTTGGTGCAAGGCTGCACAACAGCCCATCTCTCCTGCTCCACGGGAATCCCAGCTAGCCCCCAACAGCTGGGGCCCCCGGTCCCTGGCTCTATCACACTGAACTGTGTAGAAGCCTATGGACCTGTGGCGGTGCCTCAGGGGCACCCCGATGAGGGGAAGAGGAAGAGGGGGTGGTCTAGGCAGATCTGGGGGCTCCTGCAGCTCCCATGTGGAAAGTCTGAACAGCCTCGTGGCTGAGGACACAGAGTCTGTAGCCAGGCTGCCAGGGCTCCCAGGCCAAGTGCAGGTTCCGGGCCCCTTACTGACCCTGCTATGGCTGCCTGTCCTCATCTACTAAGTGCAGGGAATACTGGTCTTTCCCTTAGAGGGTGGCTCCGGGGTTCAGTGAATATGTACAGCTTAGAACAGTACCTGGTGGTAGAAAACGTGGGTTTGCTGATAATACTGTAATACTTCGCACAGCCAGAGAAATTGTATTTTAAGGTATTTCAGGCACTGGGTTTTTGTCAAGATTCAGCTTGAAGAACGAGAAGCTGAAGAACATGTGAAAGCCACCGCTCTCTGCCTTCCTGCCCTGAGCTGTTGCCTCTCCGAGGAGGTGGAATCCCCTGGTGCCTGTTCTAGAGGTTTCCCCTGCAGAAGCCAGGACAGGACCTGACACCCCTGGGCCCCCAGGACACTGGTCACGGGGAAGACGTGCAAGGCAGGACCCCAGAGCCACCTGCACGCCCAGGAGGTGGAGCTCCCGCTCGAAGGCCGTGTGCACCCGGTGGAAGGACTCGGCGGTGCTGGCGTCCAGCCCCACGTCCTCCGGCAGCTCGCGGTGCTTCTCGTCGATGAGGCCCAGGATCTCGGTGCCTGTGTAGAAGTAGCGGTGAAGGTCGTAGGAGGCGGCCAGCAGCTGCATGCGCGTGTCGATGAGCTCCAGCAGGTCTGCCCACATCTCATTCAGTCCGTCCTTCCACTCGGCGATGGTGGCCGCCTCTCCGTGGCCCGCGTCAATGAGCCGCTCGATAATGGCGTTCACGTTGTCCACCCGCTCCTGCCCAACGGCCCCAGTCTCCCGGGCGAAGTCCCGGAACTTGTCCCGGAGCAGCTGGACAGGGGTAGAGAGAAAGGCAGTTTCTGTGGTCAGGGGCGAGTGGTGTCACCACACTGGCTGCAGACCCTCCCAGGCGGCAACCACGACCATCGGGAGCCACACTCCCCAGGCCTTCCCTGGGGCGTCCGGAGCGCCTGCCCCTGTGCCTGCATCTCCGTGGGCCTGGCAGGTGTGTGTGTGGGTGTGTGGGTGTGCACACGTCTGGAGCACTGGCTCTTGCATTTGAGGAAGACGAAGAGGGTGTTCGCTGAGAGTACTCACAGTAACATGGTCAAAGTCTTGCCCCATTTCTGGGGACGAGGCCACCAGCTCCTTTTCCGCAATCCACTGCTCCAAGTCGTCGGCCTCCCTCTTCAGCTGGAACAGGTGGTACATGTTCTCCAGCTTCCGTTTGCGCTCCTCCGCCATGTCCTTCAGCCCCGCGTACTGCTTGTCCACTTGCCCCTGGAGTCTGATGATCTCTTCCCTGGAATTCAAACAAGGAAGCGTTCAGAGACAGTGGCGATAGAAAACTCAGAGCAGCCAGCTCAGGGGAGCAGACCAGTCCTCCCAGCCCTGTGACTGGCCCAGGTGGAGAAACGCAGCTTAGGAGAAATGGTAGTGACTTCTCCTGGGGAAGAGTTGGGGAGAGAAGGAACTGCCCCATAGACCAGGATGACTCAGGGATGACAGAATGTGTCCCTTTTAGAGGTGGGTACTTCCCGCCACTGCCCGGCACCCTGGGAAGCCTACAGAGACAGGGCAAATGGGGAATTCTCCACTATTCTTCCAAGGAGTCTGAAGGGCAGGTGGTCTGAGTGGGACCCCAGCAGAGGTCGGCCCTACTTAGCTCTTTAGAGAGGGCCGTGCAGTACCCAGGGCCCCCCCTTCAGGGCTCCTTGGGAGATGCTGGGGGGCTGTGGAGGACTCACAGCTGTGGATCCTGTAAAGGCAACTGAGGTGGAGCCATGACTGGGGGCAGCCTGAGGTGTGTGGCCTGGTGGGCTTGCATCTTTGCAGAACCCGCACAGCTGAACAGCTGAGACAGATGAAGGTTGCTTCCTCCACCCCTCTGTAATAATTTTGTCAAGAAACTGAGATCGTGAAGTGCCTTCTGGACCATAAAATGAAAAGTGAGCATCTCTTAGCACAGCCCAGCTCTTCAAAAGATTGGGGCTCTCAGTTCACTCAGAGTGTGGTTTCATTATTTTGTTTTCCGATCTTTTTGCAAGCTAGGCCTCAGTTGGCCCTGTTTGAAGTCACCCATACAGAACTCAGGCATGAAATGGAATTGGGCCAATCAGGAGTCCAGAAAGCAGTTTTCTCAAACCCAAACTGTTCCTGTTTTCCCACTTGAACCCGAACGGATCCTGGTTGGTGGGGCCTCCGGCCTGACACCCATGACCCAGCCAAGTCACACGCACCCCTCGGGATGGCCCGCGGTGAGCAGGCTCTGGGCCCGGCCGGCCAGCTGCTTGATGTTCCGCCCGTACTCCTCCACCGCACGCTGCTGCCGCAAATGCCGCTTCAGCATCACGATGGCGCTCTCTTCATCCTAGGAGGCAGGGGACCATCAGCATGGGCTTGGGGAGCTTGGCCTGGCCCAGGTTACAGCCCAGCTCCTGGAAGTGCCTGAGATGGGGAGAACCAGGCTCTCGGAACACCCACAGGGAGCTGTACTGTCCTTTCCTGCAATGGAAATGCCGGCATCCCACCTTCCTCTCAACACCCCCAATCTGATATCTACCCTTCTGGGCCCCGCTCCAGCTTTCTGTTTTGTGGAAACTCCTCCACCATTCCAGCTTTTAGAGACCTGCTCATGCCACCTCTAACCGCCTTCCATAGCACAGGACCCATGGTACAAAAAAGGTGAAGAATCTCTGGGTCGGAGCAAATTTAAGTTGGCAGACAGGGCACCTGACTACAGTATGTGCTCTCTAGGGGTGCATGAAAGAGGTGGGGTGACCTGAGAAGGAGGGTCCCTCAGACACCCCCACCCCCATCCTCACCCCTCACACACCTGGCTTCCACGGCTCCCCCTGACTGCCCACCCCCAGCTCTTCCTCTTGGCCTTGGCACCCAGCCTGGCAGCCCTGGCCTGAGCCGACCTTGGGGGTCTCATCGGAGATGACGTAGAGCTCCTGCTCGCTGATCCAGGCCTCAGCCTCGCCTGCATCCAGGTAATACTGCTGTGCCTCGCTGGCGTCCCGCAGGCGCTGCAGCCTGCCAGCTGCCGCCTCCCGCAGCGTGTCCCACGAGCTCTGCAGGTGGCCCAGGCGCTCCTCAATGTCCTCACACTCGATCTCTGCCTCCTCCACCAGCCGCTGCCCTCTCTGCAGCACGTCCTGGATCCGTGGTGCATGGCCCAGGATCTCGTTCTGCAGGGTCTGGGGCCAGAGGGTTAGAAGGGCTCAGAGGCGGGGCCTTCCCATGGTGCAGGTGAGGCTGGGTCTGCAGCAGGTTGCCCAGGTGACACCCTGGCACCTCTTGCCCCCTCCCACTCACAGCAGAGTTGGGAGTGGCCATAAAAACTGCCAGGACCACACATGAGGCACAGTGCTACACACTTCACATCACTCTCCTCTCACCCTCCCACAGTCTGCTGGGATGAGCACCAGGCACTGGCCCAGAGCAGGGCCCAGAGCAGGTTAGGAATATGGCTCCCTCTGACCCCACAGCCTGTGCTCTGGACTGCTGCCCGTTCCCCCTGGGCTGGCAGAGCTTGATTCTCAGTTGTACAGGACGAAGGAAAGGAAAACAGTGCTCAGGTGGCCTCTTGGTATCTTAAGAGTTTGTTTGGTTTTTTTTTTTAGATTTTATTTATTTATCTTTAGAGGGGAAAGGAAGGAGAGAGGGAGAGAAATATCCACGTATGGTTGGCTGCCTCTTGTGTGTCCCCTGCTGGGAACTGGCCTGCAACCCAGGCATGTGCCCTGACTAGGAATTGAACTGCAGTTGTTTGGTTCGCAGGCCCACGCTCAATCCACTGAGCTACACCAGCCAGGGCTTATCCTAGGAGTTTTCACTCCTATAAAACTATAGTTGAGCCCTGGCTGGTGTAGCTCAGTGAATTGAGCACGGGCCTGGGAACCAAAGGATCACAATTTGATTCCCAGTCAGGGCACATGCCTGGGTTGCAGGCCAGTTCCCAGCAGGGGACGCATGAGAGGCGATTATACATTGATGTTTGTCTCCCTCTCTCTTTCCCTTCCCCTCTAAATATAAACAAACAAACAAACAAATAAATAAACATATAAATAAATCTTAAAAAAAAAACTATAGTGGACTGTTTCCCCTTGTACAAAGTTAAGGGTTTTGTTTTGTTTCCCCCCATTTCTATTTCTCAGACCTCTTGGGAGCCTGTATTATTTTCTTTTTAAAAATTAAAAAATATATATTTCATTTATTTATTTATCTTTAGAGGGGAAGGGAAGGAGAGAGGGAGACAAACATCAATGTGTGGTTGCCTCTCATGTGTCCCCCACTGGGAACTGGCCTGCAGCCCAGGTATGTGCCCTGACTGGGAATCGAACTGAGATCCTTTGCTTCACAAGCCCACACTCAGTCCACTGAGCTACACCAGCCAGGGCTATTTTCTTGTTTAAATCTTTCATCACCAGGATGGTAGTTTCCTCCCACTCTAGAACTGGGTCACCTTGTCTTTCAGGGGGCTGTGACCCATGTATCCCCTCATTTTCTGGTCCCAGAGGCCTGAGCCTGGGTGCTTCTTGCACATGGGCTCCTGGCCCCTTATACGTCATGCTCCCTGTCTGCAACTGTCTGAGGGCCTTTAAAGCCATCTGGAGGGTGGGGGGCAAGAGCAGGACAGGTGGGCAGCACAGTGACAGACAGGATTGAAAATATACAGAACGAGCAACATCCACGTGGCACCCGACTTGGAACAGAGGCTGACACTTTCCTTGGTCTGTGCAATTGCATGCAAACCTCCCAGGTGTCAGCTCTGTCTCTACTTCCCCAGATCTCAGGACCTCGGCAAGGAACCCTAAACGGTCTCGGTCTCTCTCTCTCTCTTCAAAGTGATTGCTTTCTGGGATCCTGTGCAGTGAGCTTGCTTGTGATGTCTTCTTCTGTGACTTCATTCATTCAATGCATATTTATTAAGTTATTTCACATAGAGCAGAGCCTGTTCTAGGGACAATGTGGAAACGAAACCTCTGTCTTCATAAAGCTTACACTCCAGTAGAGGAAATAGATGGTAAGCAGGTAAATAAGTGTAGGTAACAGGTGCTAGAAGGAAAATACGATGAGATGAAAGTCTGCCGCGGTGCGGCGGTAGCTGCTTTAGCCTGGGGAGTCAGGGGGGCCTTTCTGAGGAGAGGACGTTTGAGTGAGACACGCCCACACGAAGACCTGGGGGGTGAATGTGGCTGGTGGGAGGGAAGAGCAACGGCGAAGTCCCCGGGGTAGAGGAAAGCCTGGGCCATCTAATGGCCAGAGAGAGTCGGAAAAGCTAGAACACTGTGGAAGAGGGAGAAAGTGGTAAGAGATGGGATTTAAAGGCAGGTAGGGGCCGGGTCAGCCAGAACCCTGGTTCCCAACCTTGGCTGCATCTGGGAAAACAGACACAGCCAGGGCACCAACCCCAGTGACCCTAATCAATGGCTTTGAGGTAGGACTGCGGCATTCGTAGGGTTAAAATTTCCCCCAGGTGATTCTTCTGGGAAGCCCAAAACCACTCAAGTGGCACCTCTCGGGATTTGTTCTAGTTGCAGGGCACAGCCCATAAAGCAGTGGCTCTCAAAGTGGGGTGCAGACCAGCAGCCTCGGCATAATGCAGGGTCTTGGTAGAAGTGGAAATTACCAGGCTCTACTCCCAGTTTGATTCAGTGGATCTGGGGTGGAGGCTGGTCAGCTGTGTCTGAACAAGCCCTCTGGGCGAGTCTCCTGCTCGCTGAGGTTTGAGAGCCACTGCAGTAAAGGGGAAGGTAAAACGGGACTTGAGCCCTGGCCAGGCTAGCCTGAAATAGTCTTCACTAGGCAGCCACACTCTCCCGGGAGATTATCTTCCCCTTCTTATTTAGAAGAACCCCATTTATACTTGCCCTTTTCTTAAAATAGCATCCTTTGGCCAGAGGAGACGAAAATCTTTTGGCAATAACACTGACTAGACAGAGTCAAAAGTCTCTAGTGTTGGAAGGACTAAAGTCAGCTCGTTTTACAGTTGAGGAAACTGAGGCCTCAAGGACACTGTCTTCTACCAGCCTCCCCGCCTCGAGTGGAGGTTGTGGTGCTAACCCGCATCCTACTACCTTCCAGCCCAGTCCCTTCGTGTGGCCACTGGAGCCGTGTGATCATGTCAGCTGGAAGCAAAGGCTCTGAGGGAGCTTTTAAAGAACCTCTTTGAATATAATTCAGGCCCTGGCACAGTTGCTGGGCTCTGTGGGCAGATGGCAGCTGCTGTTGCTCTAGGGAAGGAAGTATTGTCGGCCATGACCTTCCTTTTCTAGGAGCTACAATGCCGACTGGCAGTTTGGGACACCCTGCTCTCTCTGGGGTAAGTCCCCTGGCTCTCCTTGCTCATGGCTGTGGCTGCTCCTAATTCTTGACCCAAAGAGCAGACCATGCAGGAGGAAGGACTCTCTGCCCAAAAGCAGGGTCTGCGGCCAGCTTTTGGCACTACACAGAGGCAGCACGACCAATGTAGCTGGCCTTGGAGGATACGAGGTAACTCTGACTCAAGAGGAAGTGTGGCACCTGCTCACTTCCAGCATCCTGCCCAGGCCTCTCTCAGAGAGAACAGAAGAGCAAATGAATGTGGCTCTGAGTCCGAGGCTGGGAGTCTGAGGTTTGTGGCTTCCTAATGGGGTTTGAGCTCTGCAAGTCCTCACATGTCCAGAGAAGTGGGGCCTACTAACCCCGAGGACACCCCACTTGCCCAGCTCAGCCCTGGAAGAGGGAGAGCAGCCAGGAGCTGTGGGCCTCCTCTCAGGGAGGCTGTGGAATACAGAAGCTGCAGAGTTAGATCTGAGGGCACACGTCTGGGTTCTGCATTCACCCGTGCCCTGATGAGTCTGAATGGCCCCAAATCCCAAAGCATCTAAACAAGCCCCCACCTTGCTCCCCTGTGGTCCTCCCAGAATTCTCTCCACCATCACCAAAGCTGCTCTTTTAGGAGGTCTGGGGACCCCAGAACTACTAATGACAGTGATAATCTGCTGTAGCTGGTCTTCTGCAGGAGGGGCAGGTGGTGCCGATGAGGTAAGGCAGTACCCACCTGGTTCTTCTTCATGAACAGCTGCACAGTTTGCAGGTTCATGCCGTAGTTGGCCGACTGGGCCAGCGGCAGCCTCTCCTCCACCCAGAGCTGTGGAGACCAAAGGCAGGACAGCTGGTGACAATTGTGCCCTCCCTTTCCCAAGCACCCACCACGATCAACACAAAGTGGTGCTTGCCATTTCTCCCTGGTTCTTCCCAACACCCCATGTCAAGATTTTGTCCCCATTTTACAGACAGGGACATTTTGATATTTTGAACCGAGGTTCCTGGTCACACAGGGGAACAGTAATGTATCTGGATTGGGAACCCGTCTGTGTGGCCTGAAAGTCTGTGAGTGAGTTAACATTCAGAAAGCACTGGCTTTACTTTTATACTTAATGTACTCATTGCAACAATCCTGTGAGGTAAGGGGGTGAGATGACCAGACATCTTCTGCCAAGAGCTGCCCTGGGTGGCAGCCGGTAATCCCGACAGCAGCCGCTGTCTCGGCCGCTGGGGGGTTGAGGGTTGCGGCCCACGTACCGTCTCATCCTCTAAGTCCCGGCTGATCTGCAGCTTAGCTCTGGATGATTCTAGCTGCTTCTTCCTCCTCCCCAGGGGCTCCAGGAGGTCCAGGAACCGCTTCTCGATGCTAAAGTCAGCACCCTCCTCATCCTCTCCCAGCGAGGGCATCTCAGCAAACAGCTCCCCCAGCTCCTCCTTTCGCACATTCACTTGGTCCTCCACACGCTGGGACACAAGGAGACAGTGTTGGCACTCGCCCCGGCACTGGGCAGCCCCTCCTCCTCTCCATCATTCACATCCCCCCCATCCTTTAAGGCCCAGTTTGATCTCCCTGGTTGCCCCACTCATCTTCCCCTCCCTGGAGCACCTGGACTTCTCTTCTCAGGCATGCCTTTATTAACCCATCTGGATCCCCATCTCACCCTCCACAAACGAGACATTTGTGCACAATAAAGGTAAGCCTGGCTGAGAGAAACTGGCTTTCAAGGTTCAGATTTGCTCCCCAAGATCCCTTCAACTCCAACGCTCCCAGTCTGCAACCCGCGCCCGTGCCTTCAGCTTAGCCAACATCCGGTTGACACTGGTCAGGTCCTTGCCCAGGTCATCTGACCGCAGCTGGTCCTCCATGGCGCCGATCCATTTGTTGAGGTCGGCTTGGGTCTTCGAGCGCAGGTCAGAGCTCCTGGCTGCTAAGAGCTGTTGGGTCTTCTCCTTCGTGGTGGCCTGAAGCTCATCCCAGAGTCGGTGCAAAGCCTCCAGCCTCTCGGACACCAGGGGTGCAAACTGGGGCTTCTCTTCCCTCAGCTGCGTGCCCTCCTGTGCGGGAGAGAGGCGCGCTCACCGTCCGGTGCCGGTGCAGCCCTGCTCCAGGTGGCTGCAGAGGGCCACCCGAGGGGAGGCCAGAGAAGCCAGGAACCCGTCTAGAACTTGGTGGGGCCCATAAGAAAGACTGTGTATCCCTGAGTTATCTGCAGAAAGCAGGACAGCGGAAGCTGTGTTTGGGGCAAGCGACTTGGGAAGCTGCAGTACGGAGAGCTGCAGGCAAAGGTCAGCTGGAACTAAAATCGGCTTTTAATGAAAGAAAAAAAAGGTTCAGGATCCATCCAGGTACAAGCAGCCTGAAAACCGCCCCGAGCCCACCCTCTCCTGATCGTCTCCCCAGGGGCTGCGCACTAACCAGCCTTTCAGTTACTGTCTTTGTCTTTGCACATTTTCACCTGCACAAATGTATCTTTTTTGGATGAGTACAGTATTTTACTTGGGTCTAGGCATATGTACCACTCATGATAGTCAATATTTATTAAGTAATTAATAATCATCCAGGACTATTCTGGGTACTTTAATGCTCACAACTCCTTTGGGGAGGGAGCTGTTATTACCCTTGTTTTACAGATGAAGAAACTGAGGTGCGGGCAGGGGGAGGGGGACAGTCTGGCTTGGAGCCTGCACCTTCCACTACTGTGGACATGGCCTCGTGTGGCCCCTAGGCCGGCTTCAGCCTACACTGGTCGCTACCATAGGAAAGAACAAAGGTATCTGATTCCAAGATCTAACGCCAGCCCCTGGGGCAAACTCATTACAGAGGGGACCCTTGCACCCCCATCTGCCAGGGGTGTGAATGGCCCCTCCCCAGTGGTTCTGCCCATGCAAAAGGTGAGCGCCAATGGACTGCTCTGCTCATGTCACAGGTCTCCCGGGCTGGGGACCTGGGGAGGGAAACAGAAGGCAAACAGGGATAACTGTTCTCCCGCCGATGGATGCTAGAGACACTTGAGTGTCTTCAGTGTCCTTCACTGTCCCCAGACTCAGGTGACCCAGGAGGGGTACCTATTCTGACCTGGCTTAACATGACTGGATATATCTGAAGGTTTAACTACTGTTTGGAGAAGTTTTTTCACTTTCTAGTTCTGCGCTGTCCCTCACGCTTCAGGACAATGTCTGGGCCTGGGGGGAGTCCCACTCAGGGAAGTGCACCTGAGCACCCGCCTGACTCACCGCATCGAGGCTCTCCAGCCACCCCTGGTGGGAGGCCAGCTCTGCCATGAACGCCTGGTGCTTCAGCCATTTGTTGGGAAGATTTCGTGCTTCATCATAGGAGACATCCTGAGATGTCATCAGCTTGTCATTGATCCAGAGGGTGAGCTATGGGCAGAAAAGAGGGGCCGGTCATACCCAGGTGTATCTTCCTGGCCAGGGGCTCAGGGCAAGACCTGCTGCCCACCTCGGGCCGCCGGGCCACCTCAGCCACAGAAGCAGCCACGCGGAGCCAGTGTGAGCACAGCGGAGCACCATACTCTAACTCTGGGTCCCTAACTCTCAGTGCAGGGCACTTACCCACATTATCACAGGCCTAAAATATGGACACTGGTGGGCCTTCCACACCAGCGTGTGCCGTGTGACACCAGGAATCTCTGTGCTTCTCTCCACATTTCCCAGACCTAGGACAGAGCCTGGGCTACTGCGGGAACTCAAGAACTATTTACTGAATGGATAAACCCACTCTTTAGCAGCAGGGCAAGTAGTCATTAATAAACACAGAGAAAATGGTTTTGGAAGAAGCAGCCAAAGCCAGAGCTTGTAATTAACAATGAGGGAAGGACTGCAAGGGGCAGCCAGTGTTTCCAAGATGTCCTGGCACTGTACCTGGCCCGGTCTACGCCAAGGGCAGAGGTAGACATAAACACAGTCATTTGGGCTGAGAGGAAAGGGGTATGAGGAGTGAGAGCAAGAAAGAAGTCAGGGAAAGCCCCGTTCCACGTGGAGATACTGCTGATGGAGGGACCCAGGAGAGCAGCTCAAAGACCTGCCTGCGCAGCTCGTGCCGGGCTGAGCCATGACCTTAGGATCAGTGGTTCTCCAACTAGGAGGCTTGTTGAAAGTGTTGCTCTCTCTCCACCCTTAAAGATCTGATTTGTCAGGACTGAGTGGGGCCCAGGACTCTGCTTTTAACTGGGGCCAGGACTGGTTCTGTAATTGCAGGCCCATGCAAAATGGAAATGTTCAAAATTATTAAGAATTTCAAGACGGCCACAGCAGAGCACTAAACCCAGCATGGAGTGCTTCTAAGCACGAGGTGCTGTGTGAATGCACAGGTCACAGGCCCTTGAAGCCCTGACCAGGGCCATAGGTGACTCTAATATAGATGGTCCACTGAGATGTCCACTAGATTTGACAGATTAAAAAATCTTTCCAGACTTGAAAAAAAACCAGTATTGTGGAACCAAAGACTCTAGAGGATGACCTAAGCTGCGGAGTACCCGAGATCCCCCTGACGGAACCCCAGAGTCCCGAGTTTGAGAGGGTCCTTGGGGACGTCCCACCTCTGGGGCACTTTGCTCCTAGAAAGGAATGTTCTGCCAAGTGGCCTGCCTTGCTGGAGCCTCACCTCCTGGCAGTTCTGGAGGAAGTTCTGGAGCTCCAGGTTGTCTCTCAGAAGAACTGAGGCCTCCTGGGCCTTCTCATTGTTCTTCCTGTGCCTGAAAGGGAAGCCAGAAAGCCGAGGTCACACAGTGTTGAGTGCGGGGCCCCCACGCAGCACGGCCAGTCCCACCTGATGCCAGCCCATCACCAGGGGGAGGAGAGTACCTGTCCCCAATCAGCTGCACCTTCTCCTTGATCTTGTCTGAGTAGAGGTTTCCCTCGGCTACCAGCTTGTTTCCAGAGTCCACAGGACTCAAGACCTTATCCTGGTTGTTCTCCATAGACACCAAGAAGTCCTCAAACTTCCGGATCCCAATCTCTGCAGCTTCCAGGGAGTCTGGGGGCTCCAAGTGAGCCAGTGTATATTCCTGTTGAAGCAAGTTTCCAGATGAGGCATGGAGCCAACCTGAGGAGGTGGTGAGGGAACGTGCTGGGCCGGAGTGCCACCTGCAGCCTTACAGGTCACAGTGTGAACGGTGCCCCTGGAGCTGTGCAAGGAAGAGACTCCCCAGGCCTTGCCCCCTACCCCCATCCTCACCCAGGGGTACCCCAGGAACAGCAGGCCTGAAGCCATATATGGAAGGGCAACCACCCAGGGGAAAATTCACTTCTCCAACCTCTAAGTGACCCAAGAATAGGCATCATTTGGGGCAGAAGGCTGAAAAAGGCACTTAAGAAACAAAGAGGATTGTCCTCTAACTAGTGGCCAGAGAGTCCAAGAACAGCCTAAGTGGGTCCCTGAGCCCTGTAGCATATTTGTAGACTCACCAGTGCTGTTGCCCTGAGAACCAGCTCCACCCGCTCCCCTCCCCCCCCAGCCCTGAACGCCTCTCCCTACCTGGTTAGTAAGGATGGCTTCAGCCTGCTTGGCATCTTTCTGGAACTCCTGGAAGCCAAGGCACTGGGCAAGGGAGCGGCCGCGGCTCTCCCACATCCGGTGCAGGGCATCCCAGCCAGTACCCAGGCCCTCCAGCCGCTGGCCCAGGAGCAGGTACTCTGGGTCTGTCTGGTCACGGAGCACTTTCTCTCCAGATGTCCTGACATGCTCGTAGCTTCCATGGTGCCCATCAATCTCATCCTTGATGGCTGCATGCTGCTGCAGGAGCTGCTCGGCCTCTGGGACGGACTCGGGCATGTCCTCGGAGGCCACGGTCTTCTGGGCCATGGACAGCCAGGCCTGAAATTCATCCAGCTCCTGCAGGAAGGCCTGCAGCTGGCTGGCTTCACCGAGCGAGGCCTCCTGCTCGTTCAGGGCTTGCTGTAGGCCCTGCCACAGCTTTTCCACGTGTGCCTGACGCCCGCCAATGTCCTCCTTCAGTTCTGGGTGTGACTCCATCAGCCGTTGTGACTCACGCTCCAAAGCACCCACACGGGCCTGGATGGCGGCCACGTCACGCTCCAGCCCAGACAACTTACGCTGGATGGAGATGACTCCTGCCAGGTCCCGGCCCAGGTCCTTGATGGACTCTACTACCTTCGTCTTGTCTGTGATCCACTTGCAGGTCTCCTCACAGTCCACGCAGTAGTTGTGCACCCGGAGGGCTGAGTCCACTGCCTCCCGCCTGTCCGACACCATGGTCTGGAATGCCTGCCACCTGCCAGGGGAACACGCAGGGGGGACAGAGAGATACCCTCTTCCATAACTATTCCCACAGCGTATCCCTTCCCAGACTTTTCACCAGAGTCTCTCCCCAGAGACTTTGCATACTGAAAAAAAATCATCTACCCAACAAACTGCAGTGGATAAGGTTCATTTACCCAACACAACATAACCCCCCATCGGGTCTTTCCGTTCACAGGAGGCAAGCAGCGACCTGATCCCAAGCGTGAGGGAAGAAGGCACATAACACTTAGCTGGCTCTCTATGTCGCTGGATTTCGGGCTAACAGACCACTGCCCCAGATCTTCTGAAATACTGAAAATAATTAGCTTGCATTGCCAACTTCAAGAATGCTTTAGGATGTAGGTTCGTAGCTGCCCTAGAGAAGCCATGAAAATGCCTAAGACCACGTTCAAAGTGCCCAGGGCCTGACACAGTCAGCTTGGCCCCAAAAGAAAAGAGGCCCGATGAGGAAGGGGTGAGAAGGAGCGAGAGATACAGTGGGATTGTAATTGAAATGGATAACATAACCTTAACCTTCCAGTGCACTGCTGGAGTGATTCTGGGAAATATGCAAAGGCCTGGTAGATGTCCTGGGGACCCGGGGTGGGTCTGCAGCCCTAACAAGCCTTTCTAGAGGACCCATCAGCCTGGGTCCAGGCCTCTGAAGACACCTCCCTTGGACCTGGGTTTACTCCTGCATCACGGTAATAGCTCAGCCCGGAGAGTATGCTGGGTGCTCATTTGCAAATTGAACCCATTTTTCTTGAGTGCCCACAAGGTATAGTAGGTCCATAAATAATGCCATTTCATTCAATGTCCTTTTGTCGTAACACTGATGATATGCCATAGGAACTTAACTCTTGTGTACCTCAATTAGCCACTGTTAAAACTGGTTTTGTAATAAGTCATTTTGCTGAAAGTCACAGAACCTATCAATGCCGTTAAGTGAGGTCTTACTGTGTGTGAGCATTATGTCAGCCTTTGGGATAATGCAGACATAGCCAGACTTTGCCTTATGGAGTGTAAGACTAGAGAGAAAGTAAGACCACCTCACAGAATAACTATGGTGTAAAGTGCTACGTACATGGCCTATATCAGGCACAGAGGACTAAGGGAGCTGTGAGGAGGGACAAGGGTGACAGTGACAGGTTTCATGGTGGTCCTCTGAGCTGTATCTCAATGAACAGATCGGTTTAAGGAGGAGACCCTGAGTATGTCACTCAGCTGTGTACCCCCAGCACTGGAGGGATGGCGGTTACAGGACTATGCTGATGGACTGGATAAAGTGCATTGTGGGCATTCCAAAGTGTGACAACGCTCTGGTCCAGACTGAAACACAGTCTTGTTGGAAATGCCTGGAGAGAGAAGAGGGAGAGTCCAAAGATTTCTCAGCTCCCCTCTTAGACCGAGAGGTCCCTGAGTTCTGGGGACTTCTGTGCCTGGCACACAGGTGGCGGGAAGGCTAGGGAGTCAGGGGAAAGGAGCTGAAGATTTTCTCCAGGTTGGCTGGAAACCACTGTGAGAAGATAGTGATGTGCTCTGGGGCCATTAGACCCCCAGGCCCTGCACAGAAGCCACGGGCGGGGCGGGGGGAGCTGGTTGCGCCCCCAGGCCAGAGGCCTGTGGAGGTTTCCTAGGCCTCTCCGAGTCTTGCCTTACTGCAGTCCAAGTGGAGGCTGCACAGAGCACAGGCTGGGGTTGGGTCTAGTCTGCCCCCCAAACCCACTGTCCTGTCTCCTACTGTAGGGAGGACATTGGTACAGCTGCTCCAGTTAGCACTGCCCAGGCGATGTTGGACATTCAGGTTTGCTCCTGGAGCCAAGGTTATAGAAAGGTGTTGGTCATCTCGTGTGCATGCAGTGGAAGGTAATCACACATTCAGTGGAGAAGTGTCTGAATGACTCACATGCGCCACAGTTGGCGGAAGTTATTTCCACGTTGTCGCTGCTACTCATTCACTAAGCATTTATCACACAACCATTACGTGCAAGGTGCCAGGCACTGGTCTAGGCTCTGGGGATACAGCAATGAATGAAGCAAGGCGCTGGCTCTAATTCACATGGGAAGAGACAAGTAAATAAATCCATAATCTATCAAGTGGCGACAGCCAGATGAAAAAATAGAGCAAAGTGATGGGACGGCGGCGAGGGACTGGGTGGGAGAGAGAGGTAGGCGATGTTTTCAATGGGGTGGTCGGGGAGGACTGTCCCAGTGAGTTGATCTGTGAGCTGAGATCTGAGTAACATAAGCGAGTAAGCCACGTGCTATCTCGGGAAAGACTTCCACATAGAGGAAACCTCAGACAATAATGGGCGAGGTGTGCTAAGCGCTGTGGGCAAGACGTAAAGATATTGCCCTTCTGTAATCTAGTAGGAGAGCTCTTCAGCATAACGGTAGCCATAATACAAGGTAGAATGTGAAGCTCTAAACCCGTACAAGTTTCATCTGGGACACTGGGAAGGAGAGGACCCTGGGCCAGCCTAAAGGGTGGGCGGGAGTCGGAGGACGCAGTTTGTGGAGGATGTAGTTTGTGGAGGACGTAGTTTGTGGAGGACGTAGTTTGTGGAGTACGTAGTTTGTGGAGTATGTAGTTTGTGGAGGATGCATTCTGGTAGGACTGTAGGTGGAGGTGAAGAATGATGGTCATTTTAAAAAATATTTGAAGGGCTAGGCCATGGGAGAAGAATCAGAATAAATTTTGATCTTGCTAAAGGGCATAGCCAGAACCACTTTACGAATTTCAAGGAGGCAGATTTCCACTTAATGTGAGATCAAACTTTCTAACCAAAATGCATTGCCCAAGTGGGGTGGGCTGCATGGTGGAGGGCTGAGCCCTCCACGTCTAGAAGTATTTGTGCAGAACACAGGCTGTCTGGAGTTTGGAGGTAAAGGGGCTTGTGTGTGTGCACAGGTGTGTGTGTGTGCAAGGCAGACAGGAAGCACTTGTCAGCTACGTATGTGTTGCCTTAAAGAGCTGTAGTCAGAGAATGACCTCTGCAGACCCCTAAGCCACGGATCCTTCTAAGTGAAATAGATCAGGCACTTGCCATCCTTAGGTGAGAGAACCCGAGGCCTGAAATGGTGGTTTTCATGAATCTGAGTGTTGAAATGTACCTGAGACGCCACCTAGCCCACAGAAAAGCATCCTCGTCCTCTGTATACACTGCAGACTGCAGAGGAGTCTCCTGAACCACAGCCCCCATCTTTGGATGTGGAGAAAATTGGCTTCATCCCAGTGGCTCCAAAGTATCCCCCAGCCTGAGGCCCCTGGAATAGCCACTGCACTGACCCTTCTCTTCCCTAACCGCACCTCCCAGATGGCTTCAGGCAAAACAACGCTCAGAAACAAGTGTGGGGAAAGGGACAGGGACAATGGGTAGGTGAACATGTGGCACTGTGTGTGCAGGGCAGGGTCCAGGGTGACAAACAGGGGACACGAGCCTGTGCTCTGTCCTTTGAGATCCTCGAGGACTCATGGGTAGTGATGCCCTGTACTGAAAGCGCCCCGCCTCCAAAGCCTCCTCAGGGCCTGTTTTTTGCTCTGACCGTGAAGTGTGCCCAAGGTTTCCTGCTCATTTTTCTCTTCATTCCAGCCAGCCGCAAGGTCGATGACGCACTCGATATAAGCAGGAGCTTTCTTTTATGGACATTACTTAGGAGCTCTCAGAGAACAATTTTCCCTGCCTAAGAAATGTCTGGGTAAATGTGGCATGAGTGCCATCTGGCCTAATTCTAACTGCAGTCCACTGAGAATGTCTCCCTGCCTCACACAGGGCCACCGCTGCCCCCAGACGCAGTATTTGCAGCCGTGTGAACACATCTCTCCCCCTCCCTGGGCTGATCACTGGACAGGTCTCTCGTTGCTGCTACAGAAGGAGACAGGTGAGAACGACAGGAGCAGTGAGGGTACAAACCTGGCAGTGCAGAGCCCGTGTCCTGACTTTTGGGCCACACCCCCAGGGTCTGGCAGGTGCAGGGCGATGCTCCCAGCCCAAACCACACCTCACCTGGTGTTCAGGTTGTCCTGGTACTGCTTCACTTCCCCGCTGCGTGGGTGGCCACTCTCTATCAGGCTGTTGGCAGCGAGGTTCACACCACCAATCTGAGTCACCAAGGTCTTCATCTCCTGGTCCAGGATGTCAAACCTGATAAGGACAGAGAAAACGAGGACCGGTGAGGCAGCAGCAGGCACTTCATTCCCAGCGGCCGCCCAGTCTCCAGAACGGGTAGCTCTTGTTTCCTCCTCCCACTTCCTAATTACATTTGACCAGGTAAAGGGTGGACAGGAGAAAGGAGAAAGATATGCTGACAGGACGTATTTGCTGGTTCACGGGTCCGGTTTCTTGGTTCAGCATTTCTCGGACCAGACTAGGAGAGAGCTGGTTCCATACTACACCGGCCACTGGCTCAACAGAGGGGCACGGAGGCAAAATGAGGTGATCGGAGGCTAATTACCACAGAGACCACCTGCCTCCACTGCCTCAGTTGCTGCTCTTAGACCCCATTTCCACTGCCTTGACACCTTGACCTGAAGGATACTCCCTGGCCACATGCTCTGTCCCTGGGTAGGAGAAGGGACAGCTGCTGTGGGGAGGGGAGCCATGTGGTTGTGAAAGCTGACACTTCTGGTATAAGAGTCCAGGTGCCTCCAGCATCAGTGTGGGACCACCTGGTCATGTGGTCCCACTCCCTGAGACCACCTGATCACGTCCCAGGGAGTGACCTTTTCTCTGCCTCAACTCCCTGGATTCTATGCTCGGAATTCTAGGACACACGTGGGCAGGCCTTCCATGCTGAAGGGCTGATGGGGTCAGAATACTGGAAGTGAGTGGTTTTGCAGACCAGTGGTTTACCAGCTGGTCTCTGGGGCTCCTCTGGGTTCTGTGGCTTAGGGACTGCCACAGAAAGGTACAGCTGCTGGGTCCCAGCCTCTCATCTCCCACTTAATCCTTTCAGCTCTACCTTCCCCTGACTTATATGTCAGGGATTCCATATACAATTTATTTGAACGAAGACTGCTGTAGCTGAAAAGTCACTGAATAACTGGACTAGGAATAGCTCCTTTGCTTGTTTTGAAGAAAGTCACGGGGGTGAAGTACCCAAAGCTACATAGACAGATTAGAACCTGTGACTCCTGGTGCCTGGCCACTGCAATAAAGGGCATCCCCCGGCCTCTCAAAGAGACCCTGGCTGATCTAGAGGCTATTCCCATACCTAGCAGAGGGGCAGCGCGTGCCTTGGTGTGGGGAGGCAGGGAGAGAAGGGCCAGCTCTGACCTGTGCTGCACGACCTCCAGGTCCTCCAGTGTGTCTGGGATTTCCATCTGGGCCAGCCACTTCTCCTTCTCTCCCATCCACAGCTCACAGGCATCTGTCTCCCCAAACACTGTGTACAGGTCCAGGGCATCCTGTAGCTTCTGCCGACGCAGGTCTGCCTGAGCCACCACTTGCTGGTAGAGCTCCCGGAGGACCTGCAGCCGATTGGTCACATCTGGGGAATCCCGAAACTCTTGGGGGAAGCCCTGGGCCTGCTGTTCCAGATGCTCCATCACCGCACGGTTCTCCTCCAACTCCTCCAGAAAGTCCTTGTGCTTCTTCCCCAGGGCCCGTGTGGCCCCTTCATCCTGCCCCACATCTTCACCTGAGAGCAGCTTGTGAGCATCTTGCAGCCAGGCCTTTAGGTCGTCTGCATCGCCTTGGAACTGGAAAAAGTTTTCAGCATCCTGCAGGTTCTTCTTCCGAAAGGCAGCCAGCTCCTTCAGCTGGTCCCACTGGGCAGATACCTCCTTGATTCGGGCTTCGATCTGCGGGTGCCCAAACTGCTTGCGTGCGACCATGCCCTCAGCCTCCTGGAAGATCTGGTCTAGGTGGGTGTCCAGCGCGCGGAGCTCATCCTCAAAGGCTTTGTGCTTGCGCTGCAAGATGAGCACACTGGTCAGGTCCTTGCCATAGTCAAGGGAGGAGTAGATCTGCTCCTTCTCCTTAATCCAGCTCTCGGCCTCATCCATCTCCCAGAAGAACTTCCAGAGCCGTTTGGACTGCTCCAGCTGGACCTTCCGCCCAGCTGCCATGTTGCTTAGCTCCTCAAAGCACTGCTCCAGGTGGCTGACACGGTCCTGGATGACCTGGGGATCACAAGGCTGGTACCCTGGGAGGAATGGGAGGAGGAAAGATGAGAGGGGGAAGGGCTTCATTTCCTGTCAAGCTTCAGATTGGAAGCCGCAGGGCTAGAACAACACAACCTAGAACCTGCCATTTCACTGGAGCTCTGGGACTGGAGGCAGGGCATCTCAGGTGCTCAGAAGAGGGCAGGCCAGATTCTTAATAATTACTTCACAGTAAACTGCCAGGGATAAGGGGGGTTAAAATTTGGGTCAACTCTTGGTAGAAATGTACTACATAAAATCATTTTTTAAGAAGCCTAGACACAAATTGCAAGATGATTTTTCAAGGATGCAGCAGAGTCTCCTATTTAAGACCTGAAATAATAAACCTAATTGCCTCTGCTATAACTTGGACTAGCAGAGAGGGTGAAAGACGGGATGATGCCTTGTGGGTGCCTATAAACACCTTCTGATAATAGATCACCACAGCAGTTGCCTGGTCTCTGGAGAGTTTTGCCATCCCTCAAGCTTCTTCCTGGCACCATTCATTAGTTAACCAAAGAAGCAGAATTCTAAAGCTAGGAGATTATCCAAGCTGGAGTTCTGAACCAGAGATGGGGCCCTGGCTTCTGAGGCCTCAACAGGGAGACTTCCAAATTCTCACCCTTTTCCTCAGTGAACTTCAGGGTGGCTGTGGTGATGGCCTTCACTTTGTCTCCCTGAATGGCGATGTCAGCCTCCGTCAATTTGTGTTTCTGTAGCAAGTCCTCGACCTCCAGCAAGTGCTTCCCGAACTCGGCAGACAAGAGGTGAGCCTGGCAAAGAGGACAGACAGGGTGGAGGGGATGAGGAGAGTTGAAGAGACCTACGTGCTAGAAGAGACCCCTCCAAAGGGGGTGACCATGGTGTCTGGGCTGGGGAGTCAGTGAAGCTGGAACACAGCAGTTGCCTGGCATGGAAGGGGCTGTAGAGCAGGAGTTCCTGCTAGGGTGCCCATTGGACTCATTCTTGGGTCGCCTTATGCAAGCTTGAGCCCCTCACCTGATCTCCTGCATCTGCCCTGGGTTTGTGTATTTTAAATAAATGTATTATAAATACACAGGCTTGGGCATGTGTATTTTAAAAAGTATCACAGTCACTCTGACGTGCACCCTGTGCTGAGAGCACTGTGGTGGAGGGAGAGGAGATTCAGATTCCCTGGTTGCCCCTCTGCTGGCAGGTCTGGATTCTAAGCAGTCAAATCATAACTACTCAGAGCCTGATTCTCCAGGTTCCTGATTAATGTCTGTCTCTCTGGGGCCTGCAGGTTGGTGCCCATGCTACTCTGAACCTAAGATTTCTTGATTATGGGGATAGAGTGGACCTGGGCTGGTGACTTGTCTGGAGCAGAGTGAGCCAAGCAGTTGACAGGCAGATGCAGCCAGACACTATGTGGCCTCAAATTCTCCCTTCTGATTCAGGGACATGACTGGCTGGGAGGCATCTAAGGAAGCATACACTAACCGCAGGGTGGGCACTGCGGCCGGAGGTGGGTGCCGGGGGTGTGGGGGATGGGCAGTCCCTGGGCCCACCTTGATCTCGTCCATCCAGTCGATGCTGTGCAGCATATCCTGGAAGAGCTTCTGCAGTGCCAGGGTCGTCTCGAGTCTCTGGCGCCGGGCCTTCAGCAGCTCCTGCAGGTAGTTCCACAGGCGCAGGATGTTGTCCTTGCGGGCTGTGATGCGCTTCTGGTCGTGGTAATTCTCCTTCTCCAGCTCCTGGGCCAGATCTTCCAGGGCCCTCACCCGTTCCTCGTAGGCAGCTGTGTCAGTCTCGATGGCCTCATGCTTCTTCTTGGCGGCCTCCACGGCTGCCAGGTCGTACCCAAAGTTATCCTGCCCCACAGAGAGAAACACGGGCAGCTCAGTCAGGCTCCTCTTGGCTAGTCCCCAAACGCAGAGAAACAGACAGTCCCTTTGGAACGACTGCTGGGTGGGAGGACCATTCCCAAGGACTTAGTTCTGCCATCTTTTTCAGCTCATCTCATCAGAGCCAAGTCTAAATGTCTCACAAGAACCTTGAAAAGAAGCTTGAGATTTTACTCACTGTGCCCTACGTGTGGGTGTGCTGTGCATAAGTTACTAACAGAGCTGCGCTTGGCCTGCTGGCACTCACTCACCGCCTGCCTTGAATGGACCTGCCTGGTTCTGGGCGGGAAGGGGCTTCTGACTCAGAGCCAGGCAGCTCTAAACAGATGGCTTGGGGCACACACACTCTCCCATTCTCTCAGAACACTTGCTTTCCCCTTTCTGGATGGAATGTAACTTGTTTCCAAGTGGGAAGAAACAGATCCTGTCCTGGACAATCGGCCCTGGGGTCAGTTTTTAGCTAGTGACACATGACTTGGTCCTGGAGGCCAGAGCCCAGAAGGCATGTCTGACACATCACATCCCCAGAGGACCATGGTTCAGTGTCACCTCAAACCCTGGCTTCAGTTAACGATAGCTTCGGGGGCCATTGTGGGATTGTGAGGCTCTCTCCTTAAAAATGAGATGTCACATTCTGCAGAGTTTTTCTTCAGATGTGAATCTTGACCCACCCAATCCTGGAAAGCAGGGATGCAAGGCCTGGGGAGAGGCCAGCCTGGGCTCCAGCCCAGCTGACTACTGGGGTCTCTGGAAAGCTGCCTCTCTCCTGCCATCCCCAAGGGTGTCCCCCTTTACCTGGGCCACAAGGCGCTGGTTTTCACTGAGCCATGTCTCTCTCATGGCGGCCTTCCGGTCAAAGCGCCGGGCCAGCTGCTCCAGCTTCTCCTGGCGAATGAGCTCATTTCTCAGGGCTAGCTCCCGCCGGTACTCAGCCTCCTCCAAGCTTTCCCAGGCCTGCCCAAGGGACAGAGGAGAATTCTTAGGGCACGAGAGGAACACCTGGGTTGGGGGTTCCATTTCTTTTGCCCAACACTGAGTGATTTCAGGAATGTAGGCAGAGCCTTTGGCTTTCATGTAGGGGCCAACCAAAGATTCTGGGAGCCCTGCTTATGAGCAATCTGTTCCCTCTTCCCCTAAACCTGCCTCGGACCATTGGTCTAATATAACATTGTCTCCATGGATGCGCTGTAAAATGGCTAAATGGCTATCTCCATTCTAATAAAATTTCCAGGGGTTATTAAGCCTCTAAACCTCTGAAATATTAGAAGGTGCTTCCCTTCTGTTATAAGAAGTTAACATTCCATCTTAAAAAATTCAATGTTCAGTAGTGCTAGATTTTAACAACTGGCTCCAAAAATGGATTCTGGGCATCTGAACAGGGGGCTGAATTAAGGGGTCATAGGTGGAGTTGATGTCTCAGAATTAGGTTCAGACAGCACCCCAAGATAGCCAGCATGTGCAGTTATTAACACCCCAGAAAGCAGCTTAGTTTAACCCTGTCCGGTGACCACTCCCTGCGCCCTTATCAAGAACTCGGCCAACTCACTGGCAACATGCAGTGGGAAAGGCTACTGTACCCGGTTGATGTCAGACACCAGTTTCCCATCGTGGGGCGTGTATACTTTCTGATTGTTGGCTCTCATCCGGGACTGGATGGTAAAAAGTAAGACTTCTAGATTCCCCTTCTCCTGAAACCTGGCAAGAAAACAGAGGCAGGGAGGTTAGTGTAGAGATCCCCACTGCCAAATTGTCTGAGTCAGTGTGGAACCCTGGGAACTTGGAGCTTGGATAGCAAAGCATATTTCCTTTAAAAACAGAAAGTGAAAAGAACCTACAGGTCTACTTCCCTGTTGAAACATCCATCATACTCGCCAGCCGAGATCTGATGGGGGTTGAGCCTTTACAGCACCAGAGAAAATGCAACATCCACCATGCACTTGCATATCATTTGCTCCCCAGGGGACGGCTAACTGAGTGGTCTGGGAATTCCTGCGGCTATCATTTTACCAATCAATACGAGGAAACTTTCCCCTGGTCAGCAAATGAAGAAGGCTTCTGGTCAGCAAATGAAGAAGGCTTCTGGCCAGCTCTTTAGTCAGTTTTTTATTGAGACAATAAATCCTTAGAAACAGCACCGTCCACGTAAGAACGTATTGCATCGAAAGCAACTTTCGCTTGAGTCCTAATGAGTCCTAATGAGCCAGCTCTCCTGACAAGTCCCAGAGGCCAGATGCTTCTGAGGGGGGCAGGAAAGGCTGATTTCTGGGGGGATTTTAGGTGTGGGAGATGAGAACTGGCAGTGGGGTGATGCCTGGAACTTGGGGTCCAAACTCCAGGTAACTGGGTACTCTCTCATTTCTGCACGTATGCAAGGATCTGCCCACTTCTCCATCCTCCACCTGGCAGCGGGGGATCAGTGTAAGCTCTTAGGCCAGCCTAGTAGCTCTGCCTGCTCACAGGCACACAGAGGGCTGCAGCACTAGGCACTGTGCACACAGCCAGGAGATATCACCCCTGTGTGCAGAGCCTGGTAGACTCACAGGTGATGTTCTCTGTATATTCAATTCAGGGCTTTCAGATGGGATAGTGTCGCACCAGAAACCAGATACTTGTTTATAGCACATTCCAGGCTCCAGTCTCACCTTTCTCTGTGTGAGAATCATGAATGAAGAGTGTAGAAGATGAGAGGAGAAGGAACAAGGCAGGAGGTACCACTGATGAGCTGGAAATCTGTTTCAGGAGAGCTGGGCAAGCTAACAGCAGTGAGCTGGAATGCCCCATGTGTCTGTGTGTGCCTGTTTTCACATGCATGTATGCACATGTGCACACACAGTTGTGTGCGCCTGTCCACGCGTGTGCGTGTGTGTGCGTGCACCCAGGCCCTGCACACACTGGGGGAAACGGAAGTCCTGACGGGCAGGCTCGGCGCTGTCCTGATGAGCAGTGACAGACAGGAGAGAAAAAGAAGGATTTACTTGATGATCAACACGGCTCCATGCAGAGAGTTCTGAGGCTTACAGTACAGACGTCATTACCAGAAAATAAGCCTGAAGCTCAGTGCACAAATGAGAAAGGAACTTCCTTCCAAGCACGGGTTCTTGGAAGGGACCCAGATGTCTGAGATTTCACTGCTGCCCCCACTCAGGGATCTGCGAAAGTACTTTCTTTGGCTACGAGTCAAAGGTTACTCCCCAGCATCCACTTCCTATAGGCTGATGCCTGGGATCGGGAAAGCCAGGAGGGGATGAAGCAGGTGACAGATACAAAGCTCTCTAGCCTCTAGAATATGCCTGCAAGGTACACTTCTCAAGGCCCAGAGTCTGGCTCTATCTTTAGTTTCTCATCCCACTAATGTCCACCCTTCCTCCCAAGGGCCAGGGCCTTACTTGGGTGGCTTCTCCACGGTGCGGTAGGTGCTAAAGGCCTGTAGCTGCTGCTGGACACCAGTCAGGGAGTTGGCAAATTTGCGGCTGTCCAGAACTGTGATGGTCTGCTCAATCCAGGTGAGCAGGTCCGAGGCGAGCCCACTGTACTTTTCAATCATCTTCTCTGTCTCAATGGCATGGTCGATTACCTAGGGAATCACCTTATAACTCATCTGCATCAGAAGAGCAATGATGCCATCAACGAGGACCACCGTTGAGGTGGTCTTCCTCCTCTCCAGCCCTGCAGTGCTCTGTGTTGGGTATGTTCCTTGAGCCCAAGGCTGTGGCTAAGGCAGAGGAATGGCAACCTTAGCAGGCAGCTAGTCCCGCTCAGGTTCGGGAGTTGCCTCCTTTTTCTCTAACCCTATAGAAGATTGGTCAGCTCCCTGTGCCAGGATACCAGCCACTATAGGGGCCAAAATCTCATTCATTTTCAATGTGTGTTAGGAACTGAGGGCTTCCAGGCACTGTCTTTGCAAAACACCAGGCACACGAAGATGAGTAAGTGGTGCCCACACTGATGCAGCTGAGGAGCCCGCAGGAAGAAGAATCTGGCCTGAGGTTCTTCACAGTGGGGTGGCTGCCTGGTATTCCATGGGAGCCTAAGAGGCCTGCAACCACAATAAACCAATAAAAGCCCCTGTGGGAATATTCGTGAGACATGGTTCTGCAGGTGGAAGACGGGCTTAGAGCTGCAGGCTATGACATCTTTCAGGACAGACCACCAATCTGCTTTGGAACTCAGCATGGGAGTCACTAACTTGGCTTCAGAGGAAGTGGGTGGGCATGACCTGCCCCCGACCCCACTGAGGCTGGAGCTCTGGCACAAAGCTCCGGGGATGGAAAGGCAGCATCTCAGTCAAGGCCTGGGTGTGGCAAACAGGGAAACTAGGGGACAGCAGTTACGAGACAGCTCAGTACCTTGCCAACGCGCTTGCCCTCCACCGCCAGCACCTTCATCTTGGAGAAGTAGTGGTAAAATGCCACCACATAGGTAATAATGGATTTCTCATCAGGGTTTTCTGTGAAGACATCTGCAAGGGGAAAGGGTGCTGTTGGGATTGAACTGGAAGCCAAAAATGTCTGGCTCAAAGGGTTTATCTCCATGTTTCTCCAGCATGAAGTCCAAAGGCTACCCCGGGCCACTGATCAGGCCAGGGGAGGTGTGAAGAACCAATTGAAGAGCAGGCCCCGAGCAGAGCCCTGGCCTGGCCACCATCCAGGCCAGGTGCCCAGGGCTCACCCAGCACCTGGCCTAGACTCCACCAGGTGCCCTGTTGGCCTGGTGCTCCCTCCAGCACACCAGCTCCCGCCGCTACAGCCAAGGCTGGGGTGGGAGCTGCTCACCTTCAGGGTCGAGGAGTGGGATAATGCCCAGCTGACGATCGGCCACATCGAATGCGTGCTCCAGGTTGTGCCGGGCATTGGAGTCTTTCAGCTTATCAAAGTCAATGAGGTCAGGCCTGAGGAAGAAGCCAGACTGTCAGAAGGGAGTGGCAGCCATGGCATTCCCACCAACAGGGCAGGATGCAAAGGCCCTGGGCAAATGCTGGGAGGTGATCCAAAGACTCTGGGCAGATGGAGGGAGGTAGATGGGCAGGAAAAGTGAAAGGAGGATTTGGGAGCAGAGGGGCAGGGGCAGCTGTGAGCACCTGCATGTGGGGGAGGAAGCAGTGGGAATTTAAGGGAGGTAGGGCTGCTGAGGGTGAGAGAAGGACGAGCAGAGGTGACACGCCTGTGAAGCTTCAGTAGTAACCTCCATGCTGAGTGCAATGTGTGCGAACACCTGCGAGGGTTCTGTCCCACCCCCACAGCCCTCTTCTCCTGCTCACCGGTGCTTGTGTATCAGGGCATTAAAGGCCAGGCCATCCTTCCAGCTGGAGGTGAAGTTGGTGACATTGACATTGGGGTAGCTGCATCCAAGAGAAACATTAAAACCTGAGAATGAGATTCTTTTCGAGTCCCAAACAAGTGTATGAACAGAGGGGCCAATATACCGGGAGAGAAATGGACCTGTTTCTCCTTAAGCCACTTCAACAGGAGGGCTCCCCCATAATGTGGGCCTCAAAGACTCATATACCCAAAGGACCCCCCAACCTGATCCAGGCAACTCTGGAAAGGAATCCTGTGTTCCAGGCCTCAGAGAATCAGGTGAGGACTTTGCACCAGTTATTCCCAAACTGCTATAGTTCTGGGTGGTGGTGTCATGTCCCTTGGAGATGGCAGAGCTCAGGGAAGCAGGTGGGTGGGGAAACGTGGGTCCCAGGGCATACCCTGCTGTCTTCATCTGACACCATAACAGCAACGCATCCTTGGCTGAGCGTGTCTCACGACCTTCCTGAGTTTGGACAACGATGTCCTGAATCTGGGGGCGCAGGAATGAGAGGGAGAGGAATTAGATTTGCATCTGGTTCAGTGCCTTCCTGTTCTGCCTTGGGGGGGACTCTTTCCCTCTTTCCTCCTCCTTAGCCATCCATCTGCCTCACCAGCCCTGTAGCAACACCACTGCCTGAGGCCCTGGGTCCCTGGGTCCCAGTGGCCTGCCTCCTGCCTTAGTCAGCGGCAACACACAGGGATGAGGATGAGACGGCTGTGACTTGCTAACTCTGCTGGGAGGCTGAGAATAAACAAGAGCTCTGTTCCCTTTGCAGAAGAAGCATGCTCTGCAAGCCCAGGAAACAGCACTGACATTGAAAGGTATTGCATTTGAACTAGGGGTTTCTCTTGCCTTTTCATTCTTTCCAGTCCTGCTGCCATTACTATTTAATCATGCACACTCATGCAGAGTGAGACGGCACACCCAAGATCACTTGGATGAGAACTTCAGTCCGAGAGCGAGTGCTGCATCTTCCTTTCCCTGCCTTTCCCTCCTCTGACCCGGTTCTTCCTGTCCCCAGACCAGCAGGTGAAAGGCCCTGCTTCCTTTCCTTGTGCTTTCTAAATTTCCTTACAAATAATGAACCTTGAATTTCAGAGTGGGAAGAATGAAGTTTCTGATAAAACACATGAAAGCAGATCTTTCTTATTTTTGCAATTTCTGAACCAAACTACGTCCAAAACCAGAAAGTCACACACATGAGGGGCGGGGAACAAAAAGCAGAGCTTCTAGCCAGATCTCACTCAGCGCAGCTACTAAATTCTGTCTTCTCCCTTAACAGACCACACTACTGACTGAACAGCTGGCCCTGCGCTTCAGCCGCTTGGTGATGCAGAGGGTGGTCTCTCCTTCCTACCTGCATTTCCCCCATAGGACAGGTTGCTAGCCTCCCAGAATGTACACAAACATTCACACTTTATATACCCTTTTATAACATTCCCAAGCCCTGTCTGGCCCAGAGAGGCTACCCTCATCCCTTCTGCCCTCTGGGAACCCACCTGGAAGCGAAGGATGATGGTCCAGATGAGGCCCAGGACCAGGCGGTGGTTGCCGTCCACGATGTCGTGGGAACCCATGTTCTCCAGGTGCACGCGCTGCTCCTTGAGGAACTGCAGAGCCTTGTCCACGTTTTCCAGGCAGTGGATGCGCATCTTCCCCTTCGTGGGCTTTGGCTGGGGGACAACAGTGGCCCCATGGGCATGGAGGGACCTCACAGTTACCACACATTGGCTGCGATCTGGACCAGCTCCTATCGTCAGCATCCACCCCGTATCCTCTTGGTTCAACTCCAACTCCCACCATCACTCCACGACACTTTCCGACTCTGTTCTTTCAGCCAAGTTCAGAGGTTCCCTCCCTCCAGTACCCTGCCACCTGGCCACGTCAGTACTGAGCCCAGGACTAAACAAAGCCTTCTGAGTGGGTGGTAAATGGTACTTGAACACAATACCACAACAGATGGTTGAGCACCTACAATGTGCCAGGCACAGTGATAAGAACTATTTACTGTCAGGTGGTGATAAAACTGGCTTTTGGTTTGGTGATTGCTAATGGGTCTGTCCCACCATCCAAGCTCCTCTCTCCCCACCCTGAATGGCCCCCAGCCCAAACTGAAGGGGACCGCCATTGACGAGTAACCTCATCAGCTAAAGGGTTCCCAGTGGTAATTCTCTCTAGTGGACTTCCAGTGCAGGGTGAGAACCAGAACTTAGCCTGGCGTTGAAAGGCAGCAAAAGAATGTGGTGCCTTTTCATTCAAATCCCAAGGTTTTATACTTGGGGAAAATGAGGCAGGGAAGGTCTTGCCTGATAGGCCCGACCAAGGTCACAGTGAAAGTAACATGAACCTTAAGCTGGTTCTCCCTCAGCGGCAACACTACTGCTGATAAGTTATAACTGACAGGGTCTGTCATAAACTCCCCTTTACAAGAGCAATAGAACACACAGGACAGTATCTCCCACAATTTTCTCTTGGTTCCAGGAAAGATGCTCATTTCTCCAGCTAGGTAATGGGAATGCATCAATTGCTATATCTTAGCCTGTGCAAGGAGGCTCCGAATAGATGGCTTGGGGTGCACACGCACTCTTCCATTCTCTCAGAACACTTGCTTTCCCCTTTCTAGATGAAATTCAGACCAGCCACAGAGGCCCAGACCCCACATGGAGAAAGTCAAGGACTCTGTGGCTTCTGGGAGAAGCATGAAAGGCAGAAGAGGCCAGAGGAGGCAAGGAATTCTGAGAACAGGTCAGGGAACCTCCTCAGCCACAAGGACACCTTTCATCATTAAGGATTAAAACCTCCCAAAAGAATAGGGAGCGAGCGCAGAGGGCCATGAGAACTGGAGATACCTGCAGACCACATCTTTCCTGAAGAGGTATGATGGCCTGGGCACAGGGAAAGGGACCACAGCACAGACAAAAGCTTTACCAGCATCTCTCCAGACAGCACCTCCAGCAGCTTGATGAGCATACGTCCATCCCGCAGGTCCTTGTAGAGGTCGGTGATGCGGCAGGACACACGAGCCAGGTGTGAGTTCACCCATTTAGTGAAGGTTTTCTTCTGAACCACTTCTCGCTCATCTGAGTGGGGTGGGGCAGGGAAGAGTCCTGGGTTAGGTTTCCAAGGTTGGCAAAGTCCATGTGCAATGACATGGAGTCAAAGAGTTTTCTCTGAATTGCAGGGTCCTCCATCCCCAGCAGAGCTATACTGCACCCTTCCTGGGAGCATTGTGACCCAGGCACAGCCTTTGACACACCAACCCATGTGCCATGACTGAGGCCACAAAGAGATGACTTCCACTACCATATTCTACACACTGTATCAAGACACCCTCATTCAGTAACCTGTTTTCCTGTGCCAGTCAGAATGCCCTGCGTCCTTGTGCCAGTGAGCTCAGACTTCAAGGCCAGCTTCGCCAATCCACCCATTCACAAATATTCCCTCTGCTAGAATGGGCTCTCTTGCCCCCTCCTCACCCCACCCTTTCACCTAAATCCTAGTCATCCTTCACATGGATGTCAGTGTCAACGATTCTTCTGCGTAAAGTTTTCCTGACTCCTCACCTAGATCAGGTCTCCCCTTGTGTGCCCTGACCCTTGCATTTGCAATTCTCATTTATGTTTCTCTTCACACTTGTACTGGTTTAAAGTCTGTCTCTCCTGCAAGACTTCAGGCTCCATGAGCCCAGGGAAGTCTCTCTTGTACCCATAGCTGTACTGTGGCCAAACATGCAGACATTCACTCAGTGCTTATTGGTGGCACACGTGTGCTAGCTTGATGGCACATACAGGGAAAACAAATTGCCTGTTTTCAATGAGCTCTGGGCAGGGAGAGAAGAATGATGAACAAGGAGACAGTGAGACTATGTGGAATATATGATCCACCTGGGGTTAGGGAAAACAGAGGCTTGGGCTGAGGACTATCCATGACTATCCTCTTCACATGAGAATGGCAGGCAGGGGTTCTCCACCTTCAGACCTGGGAGGCTGACATGACACCCACCCCCCAATCCTAAATCAGCATCAGCCGAACCCAGCTTCCGGCTCGTGTTGCAGCAGTTCAGGCTGGATGCCTCTCAGCAGCTCTGTAAAACAGGTGCTGGTGACCTGTCTGTTAGGGCTGAGAGCCTGAACGAGAAGCTGGAGGGAGGACAGAAGGCTGGGCTAGAAGGACGAAGTTTTGAGGAGTGAATCCTCCTTCTGTTTGCCGTAGTGAACTGTTTGTGGTAACCGGCTTCTGGGCACTTTGGTTGACGAGTGCAGGCAGGCGCTGGGCCTGTGGCCGTGGAGAATCCCCAAGGGTCAGTCACAGCGAGGGAAGACTCGGAGCGGCCCAGCCAGTAGGGTATGTCCGCGCCTCTGGAGCAGGCTAAATGTCTGCTCAGCTGAGCCTGAACTGTGGAAGCGTTGGCTTCTTAAATGATTAAATATCTGATTTAACAACGACAAAGAGAGCAGCCCGGCCAGCATGGCCTCAGGGGTGTGACCGGCAGTTCCCGAGGCTCTCACAGCACCAAATCCCTGCCTACTGCAAGGCTGTCAGTGTTGGGAGTGCAGACCCTTCATTCATTCACTCACTCATTCATTCATTCGTTCGTTCATGCAGCAGGTATTTGCTGTACAACCATTAGGTGCCAGGCTCTGGTGGAGGTGGGCAATTCAAGGACAGAAAGACAGCTCCTATCCTTGAGGCAGACATACTCAAATATGAGGCAGACATCACAAATATGAGAAGCGCTAGAGTCACATATAAAGAATTCATTAGCAGCCATCTAAATAAGACTTAAAAGAAAAGGAAAACACTACTTCTGAGTATACAACTCTTAAATATAAAATTGAAATGGCATTTTATTCATTGTAGGCCACTGGGCAAAGTTTCAGGGGGGAAAGCCCCCTTACTCTCTTGCTGGCAACAAATTTAACCACTTCCCTGATTTCAAGGACTGCTTCAGGAAAACACAGCTGAAGTTCGGACGGCGTACCGCACAGAGAGCAGTTGCGTTTATTCTGGAGCGTGCTTGGATTCCAAAGTTGGCCGCAGTCCCACGGTGCAGTTCCCAGAAACCAGACTTGTTCTGTGAGAGGCTAGTCCTCCCAGTCAGTAGTGGAGCTTTGACCAAGGGGGTTGGTATTTCTAGCCCCTTTAGAGGTGAGTGGCTCAAAACACTAAAGGCCTTTCTTCTCTCTCCTCCTCCTTTAAGAATCCCAAAACTTCATTCCATGGGTGCTGAGACCCATTTATTTGTGCCTAGCAAACTATAACAGAGTCCATTTAGGTGGATACATGGAATTTAATTCCAGGCTGCTGGGCTGGCACATAAATCAAAGCAGATCTCCCCAGTTTTTAACACAGAAATGATGCCTCCTGGACCCCAAGATATAGGGGGTGCAACACAGCTCAGGCTGGTGTTCCAAAATCCAGCATCCAGGCTGCCTTTACTTGAAAGCTGGAGTGAAACTGCCCAGAATCCCCAGCACCTTGAAACACTCTGCAGTGTGGAGACACGGGAAAGATTCCGAGAGGCTAATGATGATCGTGGGAGAGAAAAGGCCCAGGGGTGGAGATTCGTTTCCACCAGCTCATTAGCTCTGGCTGCTCCACACCGGCATGGCCCGGGTGCTCACCGGGAGCCTTCCAAGCTCAGGAGAAGCAGGTGGCTTGGAGCCGGCTGGGCTGGGAACGCTGGTGGTTCACACAGGCCTGGGACTCGACCATGCATTTGGCCTGCTGGCCCCAGGGCACTTGGGCCACTCTGCAGGGACCTGTTGTGGAAAGGAGGCCTCAGCGAGGCCCAGCCAGCACCCAGGCCTTATTTTCAAAGCCCTAACCCTGCCAGCACAGGAAAGAAAACAGCTCAGGAGCATGGTCAGTCACTCCTGCCCCTGCTGCCGTCCCACCCAGGGCCTCTCCGCGCCCGTGTGTTTCTCTCCCTCTCCTTTCCAGGCTGTGGCCATCCTCATTCCCCGCTATGTGTTAGGGTTTCCCCTAGAAAAGCCCTAACCACCTCTCTGACCAGCTAGTTAGAATTACTGTCTGGATATTGTGACTGGGTGATAGTTCCTTTATACCCCCCTTCAAAGATTCATTTGAGGCCAGATAAACCCACAACACCAAAACTCTCAAATACTTATTCACTAATACGTGAGTTCATACATGAAAAGTGCTTAAAACAGTACCTGGCCCACAGAAGGCTTGCCGTAAATGTTAGCCACCGTTCTTAGCATCACCGCTGTTCCTAATCCCGCGTGCAGGCCCATTCTAGATGCTGCAGGAAGCCCGGAGCACCCTCCCCTTCCCCAAGGGTCGCACAGGCCAGTAGCGGGAACAAGGCACAAACCCACAAGTAGTTAATTTTGCAACTACACTAGAGGTAAAGGGCAGGTCATTTTAATAATACACAAGCTGTCATCAGGTAATATTGGATTGATTACCAGGTAAATGACACATACAATAAATGGTCAAGGGCGAAGAGGAGAGAGGTCTTCTCTAACTGGAGGAGCCAAGGGCAGGGGGAGTTCACGGAGAAAACCACCTTGGGCAGGCAGAGGAGGAAGGGAACAGGAAGACAGGAGGTGCCCACGCAGAGAGGCAGAAAAGGACAGAGCCTTTATAAGGGGACTACTGACAGCTACGGGTAAAAAGAAAACATGTTGAAAATAGGTTTTAAACCAGATGTGGAAAGCGTTGAATGAAAGGCTAGTTTAGATTTCATTCTAGAAGCAAAAGGAACCACTGAATGTGTGACAGGGTTAGTTCCTGAAATATTCATGTGTGGGGCTCCCAATAATAATAAAAAGACAAAGTGTTTTAGCTTAAATGGAAAAGGACGTGTGCAAAATCGATCCCAAAAAACCCTTTAAAGGATCCGGAAAGGCACGCTAAATTTTCAACTGGGGAAACTCAGTATCATCAAAGTATCTGTTTACCCTAAAGTAATCTATATATTTACTATTTAAATAGAATTAAATTACATAATTTAAATTTAGATGACCTAGAGAAACTGTTAGGAAATTCATTGGAAAAACAAATTAAAATAGCTACAAAAATTCAAAAAAAGAAAGGGTGACCAACCTTCCCAGCTGTTTTTTCCTATCAAGTATTAAATTGCAGTATAAAGTTATAATAAAGCTGTGTGGTACTAGTATATGAATAGACAGACACAACAGTGGAAAAGAAATACTCCCGAGCACACATGGGCATTTCATGCTGCATAAAGGTGGCATTTCATATATGAAGGGGAAAGATGGATCACGGAGCTAAGGGGGTAGGCAAAACTAGATGGCCATCCAGGACAAATTAATTTAAATCTATACCTTATACTTCAGAATACATTTCATTTGGGTCAAAAAATTTAAATGTAAAAAATTAAATCATAAAAATACTGAACACTCCCTGGCTGCGTGGCTCAGTGGACTGAGTGCCAACCTACCAACCAAAGGATCACAGCTTTGATTCCCAGTCCAAAAACGTGCCCCCTACTGGGGACATGTGCCTGGGTTGTAGGCCAGGTCCCCAGTAGGGGGCATGTGACGAAGGCAACCACACATTGATGTTTCCCTCTCTCTCTCCCTCCCTTCCCTTCTCTAAAAATAAATAAATAAAATATTAAAAATTCCAAACTCAATGTTTTACTTATAATGTTCATGTAGGAAATATAACACAAAATCCAAAAGCCATAAAATAAAAGACTTAAAGACTATGCTAAAAAGATTTTTGTGGGGGATAAAATACCATAAGCAAAATCAAACAAATGAGGAAAGATACCACGAAGGGCTAATTATCTCATAGGTAAAAACACCTACAAATTAACAAGATCAATAATCCAATAGCAAAATGGACATAGGAACGTGAACAAAAAGTTAACAGAAAAAAAACATCAAGATCTCTTAAATGTGTGGAAAGTTGTCCAAACTATTCATAATAGAAGTACAAATTAAAAGCAGATGCACACGCAAAATCTAATACATGGCCCTTAATGAGTTTGAACAGACTAATCATAAAAGACATTTTGAGATGACTGGGAAATTTTGAATATTAAGTGGGTATTAGAGCATATTATGGAATCACTGTTAACTTATTA